CTACATTGCTCTCTCCCTTAGCCTTTCTCCTAGTCAATTACTTTCTCTCGTAGAATCTCTTCGCTACCTCGCCAAGGTCTCCGAGCTCGAATTTAGGAGCAACATTATCAAATAATGTCCAATTTTTAGTTAACCAATACCAATTAAGTGGTATTATGGAACGAGTAGTGGAATATAATCTTAGTAACGAAATCTTGGTTAATCCTGAAATATAATTTTTAGCTAACCAATACCAATTAATTGGTATTATGGCACGAGGAGAGAGACGGTTAACTTTGAGTAGACTAAAACAACATTTGAAATGTTGGTTTATCACGAGGGATATATTTTTCAAAAATGTAGATTTCGAAGTTCACATATATAAGATGGAATGCTCTCGCATAAATAGATATATTAAGAGATAATAACCCTTAATAGGACTAAACTAATATCTAAATGCACAAATAGGACTATGTTATTTGTCTACCTAAAATAGGACTAGAGGGCTCTTCTCATCAGGCCGGCCTGACGGGCTGCCCCGTCCGGCCGAGCCCGTTTGGGCACCTTCCCGGTGGAATTTTTTGATGAAATTTTTTGAGCATGTTCCTCATCAAGTCTAGTTTGTCCATACCAAATTTCAGCTCAAAACTCGATCGGGAAGGTCGTCAAATGATTTTTGCAAGTTAACTGGTCCGGAAAATACATATTCCGGACCAGTTAACTTGCAAAAATCATTTGACGACCTTCTCGATCTAATTTTGAGCTGAAATTTGGTATGGACAAACTAGACTTGATGAGGAACATGCTCAAAAAATTTCATCAAAAAATTCCACCGGGAAGGTGCCCAAACGGGCTCGGCCGGACGGGGCAGCCCGTCAGGCCGGCCTGACATGAAGTTTCCTCAATAGGACTAAAGGACACCTTATCTTCCTATTCTACCCATATCAAAATTTAATAGGATAATCATATTTTAATTTGTAATAAAAACAAAAAAATTATAACTTACACAAAAAATTGAAAAAAACTATAAAAATTAAAAAAAAAACTTTGTACTAAAGTTATAAAATTAAAAAATATATAAAGAATCAAAAACTTTAAAAAAAATTAAAAAATAGATAAAACACATTAAAAATATAAAAAAAAAATGGAGGCCTTTCCCGCAGCCTCGACCATTGCCCAGCAATGTTACCTCTAATCAGCTGAAATATTTCATTTTGTGTAAAAAATTGCCATTTTCACAAAAATGTCAAAATTTTCACGAAAACTGCCATCAAGATGGCATTTTCACACATGTTGGCATTTTTCTGGTAGTCGGAGCTAGTGGTGCTGGGAGGTTGTTGAGACCGCAGCATAGCCTGGATATTTGTTTTTTATCTATTTTACATTTTATTTAATTTGTAAAGTTTTGTGTTTTATTTTTTTTTTGAATTTTTATTTTATTAATTTTATTTAATATTTATTTCATGTTTTTTTATTTTTTTTACATTTTTATTATAAATAAAATTATGTTATTACTTTTATGTTTTAATTATTAATGAAACATGAATTGTATTAAAAGAATGCAAGGGTAATATGGGAAAGATAGTCCTATTGAGTGAATTTTTAACGTATGGTCCTATGTTGGCAATTAAAGCTTCATTTAATCCAATTTTGGGAATTCTCGAATATATTAATAACGGCATGCATGTGGTCATTAGGGTTGTAAACGAACTGAATCAAGTCGAATAATGAGATTTTGTATTTGTATCTGTTTAATTTTTTCGAATACGAATTCGAATTCAAATATGAAACGAATATTAATTTCGATTTGTATTTGTTTAACAATATGAATAGTTAACGAATCATATACGAATATCGAATCGATTTGAGCATAGGTTAAATATTAGTCAAATATCACTTTAAAATAACTTTTCTTATACTCCGTATTTTTTATGTTGTAAATGCATGCTATGACTTAATATGTTTTTCAGAATTTAAATTTAATGGATCAATGCATTTTTAGATGGTGCACAATATATGATGGAGTTATATCCAACTACGAGAGCTAAATATACGTAGGTATGAGAATAATATGGCAGCGTAAGGCAGTTTTACTCTTTATTCCGGAGAACTAGCAATTGTCTAGCCTCGGTTTAGAACTCAATCGGGGATCCGATCCCTTGGTATAGTGTTTACATCAAGTATTTATAGAGATTAGGAAGTAGAATTATGGGGGGAATCTAATACAATAAATGCTCAATTAAGGAACTATATTCTTGCTCAAAATAGAACTCATCGATGCTTGATTCCCATACGATTACTTTCTCCTTTTAGTCGTCGTCCTCCGGATGAGTTCTGCCTGTTGCCAAATATCTATCAACGAGTGATAGCTCGCCACGTAAGCCCTAGGAATATCCCGGCATCACTAGAACTCCGCCCAGGCTCGAGGTCTGCTGTCCAGCCCGGCCTGGTTGTGGGTTCCTATCGTGGGCCTAATTCCTAATGGGCTAAGCGGCTTTTAACTATGAATCTCGTTTATGGGCTCATCCTGTAATGAGGCTGATCCCGTTAAGGGCTGATCCCGTTTATGGGCTAATCCTGTAATTAGGCAGATCCCGTTAAGGACTGATCCCGTTCATGGGCTAATCCTGTAATTAGGCTGATCCCGTTAAGGGCTGATCCCGTTTATGGGCTGGACTACGTAATTGGGCCATGGTTTAAATCCATGGTACCATCAATATACTAAAGTGAATTATTTATGATTAATAAATATAAATCTATTTCAAACTTTTAGAAATAAAAATGCACACACATATTAGAAATTATACTTATAATTTGTGAAATAACTTGATAATAATTGTATATATCAAAATCAAACAACTCTAATTTTATTCTTCAAATCGAATACATAATTATATGTATTGTATTTGAAAGATATTTGAACCAAAAATTGATTTATATTCGTATTTATATTCTGGTTTATTACAAACGGGCTTGGAATCTGTATGCAAAAATGTATATATGGGCTACACTTTGAGGATATTGCTATCTTTTAAAAGTTATTATAGTGTTATTACTATTTTTATTAATATTCATATTAATATTATCATTATTATTAATTGAATATATTTGATTAATATTCGAATCGAATACACTGATATTCTTATTTGTATTTGAATTTTCTGAATTTGAATCGTCTTATACGAATTCGAATCGCGAATCGAGCACAAATTATTTGATTCGTTTACAGTTCTAGTGGTCACGTGGATATATACCTACTTTATTGGAGCAAGGATTTTACTTTGAAGAAATAATGCAGCTCATCTTAATTTGTGCCAAAAAGTGGTTATCGTTTTAACATGCATGATATATGGAGGCACAAATAGCTTGCTATCTATTGTTGGCTCTATGGTCATTCAATTCTTTGCAAGTGTAGGTGCTCCAGCCTCCAGTCCTTTAAAAAATCATTTTTCTCCATAATTTGATACACATCCCATGATCCCATTTTGGCCTACTATTTTGCTGAGTAGTTTATTACTCTATTATATTGCATGCAAACACAAGCATGTTAGAAGGCTTTGGCCACGTCCCAGCTGGTTTCTTGATTCGCCCTTTTTCCCTACACTATAATCATATCTTATTTAAGCCCAACCCCAGATATATGTTTTAAGTAACTTGGGTAGATCGTATCAAGCCGGCCTGACGGAAACCGCTGTCAGGCCGAGGCCATTTGGGGACCTTCCCGAATGTTCGTCATCAAGTCTAGTTTATCCATACCAAATTTCAGCTAAAAATTCAATCGGGAAGGCAGTCAAAAAATTTTCATACGAAAACTGTGCTTTATATATATCGTAGGGAATTTATTTGACTGCCTTCCCGGTTGAAATTTTAGTTGAAATTTGGTATGGATAAACTAGACTTGATGAGGAACATGCTCAACACATTTCGTCCAAAAATTCCACCGGGAAAAGCCCTCGGCCGGATGGCGAATCCTGACAGGATCGCTACTCACTTACCATATAATTGGATATATGTATATTGAATTACATTGCGTTTCACGATGGCTTGCTTGACGTTAGCTATCTCAAATTCTCAATGCACATACAACACTCGGTTAAAAAAATCATCTAAAAATTCGATCGGGAACAGTCAAATAATTTTTTTTTGAAGATAATTGCGCTAAATGATCTCGACACTGTGTAGGCGACTCAATCTAAATGGTGAGGTTGGTACGCAGGGGTGGAGACAGGGGGTGGCTGGCGGGGGCCATGGCCCCTGCAAGAAAAAAATTGTGATGTATATATATATGTATAAATATTTATAAGTAGTAAAAATATAGTGAAAATTTAAGTTTAGGCCTCTGCTATATAAATTCTTTAAGCCCCGGCCCCTATAACATGTAAATCCTGACTCCGCCACTGTAATGGTACGCAACTACGCACTTAATATTATAATATACTATCGTACTTTATTGCACTTAATATCATAATATACTTTATTGCTGTTATTTGATTCTATATTATTTCTATTTCAGTAGCTGATTTTGTATATAAAATTTCAAATATAAGTAAAACTTACTTATATGATATTTTTAAGATTTTGTAATAAGTGTAGTTATGTACATATTATGTTTTTAAAAAGTATAATATACTTGAATATTCGTCCTAGATACACAATTATGTAAAAAATATTTTATACATGTATTACAAATATGTAGTATCAAATAACATTATTGAACATTCTAAAATAACTATATTTTAGCCAAGCACCTTGTGATTCAATGGTATCAATACGACACTACCAAGGTCATGGGTTCGAAACTCATCCAAATCAAGAAGGTTGACATTTAACATAATAGATACTATGAGATAAGAAAAAGTACAGTAAAATAACTGTATTTTAGAATATTATGGGTGTGTTTTCAATGCTTACTTGTATTAAACGATGGCTTTTTTAGGATAAGTAAAATAACTATATTTTAGAATATTGTGATAGTCATTCTAATAACTCGTATTAGAATGTAATCTCAGTTAGCAACAAATGTAACTCTTGCACTAGAATATAACTCATGTTACTCTCTCTGGTGCTTATTCTCTCACGTTTCGTATATGCAATGTAAATCGCGTGTATGCAAAATGTAACTTCAGATAAGTTGAAATATAAACCGTGTGTATGCAAAATGTAACTTTTAGGCAAGTTGAATTATACTTGGCTTTATTGGTGATATTGGTTGGGTCAGTAAATTGATGCAACCGATAAGGAATTTCTTCTCTATGCACCAAGATTTTTTGGGAATAAGGTTTGAATGTTGTGTGCACCAAGATGTTTCTCGACCTTTAGGTTATTAATAATGAATTTATATTTAATAAGGATGTTATTTTGGCATTTCATGGAACCATCAGCAAGCCATTTGAGAGAGCAGAACAGTGGGGATTATAATGGTTCAATTGTTCCCCAAAAAATCTGGATTGGGAATGGTGCAACTGGGTTCTTCCGGGAAGTTGTTACGAAAAACCTACCTCTGTTCTGCAGCACATGTTGTAGGTATGGTCACTTACTGAATGCATCAATCTGGCCTCTGTTGAAATAGAATGTGTTGTACCTGCTACCCCTATTGATAATACTCCTATCTGTAATACTGTCTGATGATAATCAGGTCCCCCTTGTGACTGAAATTCCTGGTTATGCTGTAATTGCAACTAATTCTGTCCTTACAGCTGTCCGTCATGATACTACAGTCTCTAGTGTGACTGAGGGGTTATTGTTAATGCTGATACAGTCCCTTTTCCTGTCCCTATTGATGGCTCTTTTGGAAATTCTGATTGTGCTGTAATTGCCCCAATTTCTGTCCAAAATGCTATACGTGATATTGCTCAGGATAACCTTGTGGCAGAGACTTTTGGTGATGCTGATACACTACCATTTTCTGACCCTATTGACGGCTCTTTTGCAAATTGTGATTGTGCTATAACTGCTACTGTCCAAAATGCTTTATGATGTAGTCCCAAATGATGTTGCTCTGTTCACTGATGCCCCAGCTGTCCCAACGGCCTATGAGGATAGACTGATGCCACATCCCTTGTTGATTGTTACTACAGAAAAAGCTACAGCTTCAGGATATGCTACAGCAGCTGATGTAGTCTATACTAATTCAAATGCTGTTAACCAGCAGGAAGCCCTTCCTAATCATGATGCCCCGGTGGCTACCCGTACCGAGGCGGTAACCGGTGGTTTTCAACATTTGGTGAGCTGTGTTACCACAGATTTAGTTGCTGCCACAACTAACAGTGAGGACCGAACTGGATATGATGAGAACATCTCTAATCTCCCGATTGATATTCCAGATACTATGCTTGGCCCAATACCGTCCAATGATGAAAATCTTTCTGAAGGACAGAAAAAAATTTAACTCTTTGTGTTTCAGGTCATTTCGATACCATTCCAATTGAAGAGGAACAACTCGAAAGCTTTACGCAGGTCACAAGAAGAAGAAACTCTAATCCAAAAAACGCACCGAACAAAGAGACTGAAGATGTACAACTATTCTTCAAAATGGGATATACATCACATCCCATGATCACCAGGAGCCAGTCCAAAAAATCGCAAGACGAGACGAACTACTTTCTCTACCCGGTCGACAAGAGACTAGACTCCCCACAAAAACTAGTGGCTGCCCTGAGGAAATTCAAATTATCCCACCCAAAGGACACGTTTCACTGTCCCTATCTACATAAGGCAATAAAGTTTCACAAGTTCAACAGATCTATCTCTGCATCACATGGAATTCCGTCAAAAAAAATAATTGCTAATGTAATTTGTTCCTTCTTTAAAGTTTGATTTCATTTTTGTACTTTCAATCTATTGTACTCTCAAGTTATTTTTAATAAATTCGGGAGGTGTTCCCCGGCACCCCCACCTAGTGTGCTTTTTTCCGGGACCCAAAAAAATGGTTCAAGCATTCATCTAACCTCCCTGTTTTCTTGTATTCCATCTTGTTATTTTCTTTATTTACCTAGCATTTCTACTTCATGATGATATTTTCCCATCTCAATTACACTTGGCGTAAAATACGATGGAAAAATAATAGGGAAAATGGAAACTAATAATCCAACCTTTTAGCAATCTTCTTATAATAGTCCCACCTTTTCGTTATTCAAGAATAATCCAACTTTTGCACCCCATCTTCATTCGCTGGTCCCTGATCGATTAATGACCTGCTATTCCAAGTTATTTTCTTATCTTTGCAAAATATTATCATTGTAAAAGGTGAGATTTATGGTATAATGATTTGCAAAGATAATAAAATAACTTGGAATAGGAGGTCATCAACCGATCAGAGACCAGTGAATGAAGATGAGGTGCAAAGGTTGGATTATTCATGAATAACGAAAAGGTGGGACTATTGTAAGAAGACCGCTAAAAGGTTGGATTATTAGTTTCCATTTTCCCAAAATAATATCCACCTTATGCAACAATCATAGGACAGGGGCCTACCAATTGATAGTGGGTTTTAGGAGCTAATTTCTTTCGTGTATAGACTAAACTATGAAGCATTAATTTGTCCATTAATACCAACAATAATGATATTCCAATGGTAGTGTTATACTGTTTTTTCTCAAAAATTAAGAGATTAAAACTCAATAATCAATTAAAGCATAAACCGTTCAAATATTAAGACATTCGCATAATTTCGAAATGGAGGGGCTCTTTCATTTAAAAAGCACTATTCTCAAGTATAAAAATATCTGAATGAAATCCAAGACACATCCACGCAGTGAAGATAATGGTTGATCCAATCATTGTTAGTATTCATCCAAAAAGCTAATGTAAACATTTCAAAGACAAAAGGCTAGTATTAATTTATAAATATTTTTATACTTTTTATATTTTATTATAAATAAAACTATGCTCATATTAATAAATAAATCTATTAGAACCTATAAGAAGAGGGTAGAATAGGAAGGAGAGACATATATAACTCCTATTTTGGGAATAAAAGGATTATAGTCCGCATTTAGGGCTACTTTTAGTCTTACTTAGGGCTAATTAATATTTCATTTTTAACACAAATTAATTGGAATTGAGTGCCCTCCACCTTTTTAGTCATAATTTACTAATGCTGTATCTTTTGTGAATGGACTTCATTTACAATTTTCAGTTATTTTAGTAGCCTAAAGAGTTTGATTTTTTCTTATGTTGAACTTTTGATCTCGTTCTTTCCATTTAGTTTTTATGACACGCTAAACTATTTTATTTTTGTTATTGGAACAAAATACAATTAAAATATTTAAATAAATGGCTGAATTTGAGGTCAACGTATTTTATGAATTTTTGACAGTATATTTCATTTTTAACGAATAAAACACGTCCTTATTAAACACCGTATAATTCCCATACCATATACGAAGCACTATGTATAACTAATCAGGCTTTAACCCAGTGCGGATGCATTTCTCCACGGCATGTACTGGTATGTGTTGTGCAGGATGACAATCTTCATGCAATTTTCACTATGATTTCCTCGCCCAATGGCCAATACTATTGAATTTGAAGCAACTAGCACCGGCTAGCTGCATCTGTTTTTTTAGCAGCCTCGACGAATATCTGGCCTGAAAAAGCATCCCATTTCTTGTTATTTCTGTTTCTACAACGCACATTAAAGGTCCATGAAAGTGTAGCAGGAATTTCAAATTTGGAATGAAAAAAGTACATGGGGAAAAAGAACAATTCTACAAACTCAACTAATTAATTTTTAATGTTAGTCTAAACTCATTTATATATCTACTCCTTCTGTCCCATTTTATAAGATATCTTTCCTATTTAATAGAGAGGAGAGAATAAATGGTTTTCGTATTTTTTTTTAAGGAGAAAAGGATCACCATTCAAAATAAAACAGCAAGTAACTAACTATAAGTTCATGTAGGCAGATTAGCTACCAATAGCTCTGGCCTTTCCATTCCAAATTATTTCCCTTCTCTCTTCTGCATTTTACTCTTCTTACTGCTCTCTACACCTCCATCAATTTCTTCAACCTTCCTCTTCTTGGTCTCAACCACCAAAGTCTCCCCCTCGGCCTTTTTCCATTTCTTGCCCTTCTTTCTACTATCTCCCTCAACTGAGTTGCTTTCAGTCTTCACATTCTCAACCTCCTTTACCTTTCCTTTACCTTTCGTATATTTCACACACATATGAAACTGGTTTACAAGGCTGCTATTTATACACATCCTACCCATGTATATAAGGTAAGCAATTATACTCACTAAATGACAAAGATTGTAACGGCTAAACACAATATTCTACTTATTCTATTTTAAGTGTAAATTATTTCTTTCCTTCAATACTATTCACTTGGTCAACACAAATCACTCTTAATCTCTTACTTTATATATCGAAATTTTATGAAATTTGAATTATTTTTTGCAGACTTTGTAGCGGTTTTAATGTAGTTTCTAAATATGTAAATTTTATTTTCTAAAACTAATTTGAGTGTTACAGGGATCAATTTGCTTTATCGTCAGTCAAACATCGTAAACCGTAACGTGTCTTATAATTTGAGACGAAGGGAGTATTTTTTAACATTGGAATCTAAAAATATGAAGAAAAAAATTACTCCCTCCGTCCCATTGGACTTTGCCAACTTTCCCTTTTTGGTTGTCCCAAAAAACTTTGTCACTTTCCTATTAAAACAACTAATATGTGGTTCTACACATTTCTCTCTCCTATGCACAAATCTCAACCACACAGTTTTTACTATTCTTATTTCGTACATACTTTGCACATACTACCTCTGTCCCATATTATGTGTCTCCTTTGGTTTTGACACAATTTTTAATAAAGTGGTTGAAAAGGTAAAAGTTGTGGTTGAGATTTGAGTATAGTAAAGGTGAAATGTTGTGAACCACATATTTCTTTCCAAAAAGGGAAAAGTGAGTCTTATTTTGGGATAACCCAAAAAGAAAAGTAAGACAGGTAAAATGGGACGGAGGGGGGTACTAACTACATATCATTGTCTTTTGCATCTCCCATGGTTGAAACAAAACACAATATAACTTCCCATAGCACTTTTAGCCTTTCTCTAGCATTTTCCGGGATCCAAACATACCCTTAGGGTAGATTTGAATTGTTTATGAATTTGTATTGGTAGTTGGTGTAAAATCAGAATGATTTGAGGACCCAAAGGTTCGAGAGTACAAAATAAGTCTACAGGCTCATCATTAGCATAAATTTATTATCCTAGGCACCTTATCGCAACTAGTTGGGCTCACCTGTACTAAACTTAAAGCACTAATAAGCTACATACATTAAATATTTAACACTGAATTCATACAGAAATGAAGTGAAAGTTTTTCACTACGCATAATGCCCTTTGATACTTTCACATATCTGTTTTCACATGTATGGAAAATATCATGAATCAGTGATGAGTTGAGATATTTGCTCTTGTCAAGTTCATTACATAATTGATATTGCAGGACCATCATGGATTTCATGAAATATGAGATATTTATTGGCTTCTGAAGTTCTATCTGCAGTTGGTTAAATATACTATGATTTGAGGACCAAATGAAAATAAAGGATGTTAAAATCAAATTTGAAGACTGTAGAACAAAAATCTGGTGCTAATGAACTTTGATGGAATTATTCCACAGAATGTTAGAATACCTAGCTTACAGATGCATTACTCTTACAAGAACAAGCATCATTTGAGTGGAATTACTTATTTTAAAGCGATTTTCATCCTGCCAGTTCACTAATCGGCGGACGGTCCATCACACTAGATGCAATCTTCGCATTGCTTTTCAGCAGTGGGTCAATATGGGGCAGTTTAGGAACCTGCAATAAAAAATAAATCCAATTAGTAAAGAAAGGGAGTATAGGAAGTCTCTTCAAAGAGTAAAAGGCTAGTCACGGACGTGCACAACAATTCTGCGGCTTAGGGTTCGGGGCCAGGATTTTCTTCATCGTCGTTGGTTTTTAGCTTCATTTTCTCTCTGATTCGACGAGAAGGTAAGGGATGGAGGGTGATGAGGTGGGTACAGTGCAGACTATGGCTGCCGGACTTGCTCCCTCTGCAGGAGGCCTCGGTGCCGCAACCAAGACAACAGCTAGCAGCGGTAGCTTCCTTCAGAACGTGGGATGGAGAGGGATAGGGAGTGACGGTGAAGCGCAGGTCTTGGGTAGGGGATTGCTTTCGATTCCAGCGAACAGAAACAAGTGCAGCTAGCGCAGGACGGAGAAGGCAAGGGTTTCGGTTCAGATGGTTTGTGGGGAGTACGTTCTGCAAAGGTATTCCAAAATCAAATTTCCAAGCATGGGTTTGTTTCTAGGTGATATGGGTGGTGATTTGCATCTCCCTCCTGAACCGTTGCCTGGGAGTGAACAAGTGATTGGGTTTTCGAAGAAGACGTTTCAAGGACATTGTTACAATGGGACTGTGTGGATCACTTATGGGAAGTTATCATTTCTCTTAGTTTTACTTTAGTTATGTGTTTTATTTTGTTGTTTGATTTCTTGTGAGAGTCTATGTTGCTATGTTTGCGGGGATGATTGGAAATTTAACTTATTTTGATGTTGTTAGAACTGTATAAGGATCTAGAGGACCAGTGATAGATGTTTCAAGTTTGTCTCATGGTTAGCGATTCGTGTCGCTCTTTCAGGGGTGACTGTTTCTATGTCTAACCGTAGGGTTTAGAGTAGTAGTTGGTGGAGGTTAGCTAGAGTCAGATATGTTTTTTCTTTATTTGATTTAACGACAAACATTAGAGACCAAAGGTTTCAGACTGAGCCGAAGCAAGACTGAGTATATGCAGTGCAAGTTTGGTGGAGGTAGAAGTAGTAGCAACGGTGGGATTAGTCTTGATGGTAAGGAGATACCGGTGTGTGATATGTTTTGTTACTTGGGCTCCACAATTCAGAAGGATGGGGAATTAGATGGAGGTGTATCCCATAGAATCAGAGATGGGTGGATGAAATGGAAGAGTGTATCAGGATTTCTATAAGATCGAGGTATGCCGACTAGACTAAAAGGTAAGTTTTATCGAACAACAATTAGGTTTGCATTAATGTATGGCGTAGAGTGTTGAGCGGTGAAACAATGTCACATTCAAAAGATGAGTGTGACAGAGATGCATATGTTGCGTTGGATGTATGGACATACCAGAAAAGACCGCTTGAGGAATGAGTTTATCAGGCAAAAGGTGGAAGTAGCACCTATAGAAGATAAGATGCAGGAGTCTCGTTTCCGGTGATTTGGGCATGTGCGTAGAATACCGAGTGATGCACTTGTTACATGACTCGAGGGGTGGAGAGAAAAGACAAAGAGGAGAGGAAGGGGAAGACCAAAACAGACTTGGATTAGAGGAATCAGAACTGATATGCATCTTCTTGGGTTGGCTGCGAGTATGGCTTTGGAGAGAGCAAAGTGGAGGGCGCACATTCGTGTGAACGATTGATCTCTTTTCTATCTTTTCTCTCTCTTTTTCTTTTATCGTTTATCTTCTTTATCTTTTTATGTTCTTATGTTTTTTTATCTTCTGGCTTTTTATGATCTTTTATCTTTTTATCTTCTATCTTTCTTATATTCTTATGCTATTTTTATTTAATATTTATTTATCTTTATCTTATTCGTTTTATCTTACTTCGTTTTTTTCCTTTTCTTTTTCTTCTTCTTATTTGTAGTTTAAGAATATATATCCGAATTTCCTTACTTAATGTACTCGAATTGCCTGGTCCCTATCAGTAGTTTAAGAATATAATCTAGGATATTATTAATAACTCCTATAAGAATAATTAAACACTATATAAGGCTTTGGGTTACTCCTCCTGTCAGGTTGACCTTTTAGGATAGAACTCCGAGTCTTAACATGGTTACAGAGCCAATTTCGGTTGTGGTTTGTCGGCTTGTTAAGCACTCATGATTAAGGGTTTGTTTGGCCCGTTTATACACCCCGATATTGTCCAGCCCGGTTCGGGTTGAGGGGGCGTGTTAAAGCATTTGTCCCACACTGGAAAGCTATAAAACAATTAAACACTATATAAGGCTTTGGGCTACTCCTCCTACCAGGTTGACCTTTTAGGATGGAACCCGAGTCCCCGGGTCTTAACGAGTATTCTATCTTTGTAGTGTATACTTATAGGGACTTAAACCTTCAATAAAAACACAAAAAATCCGTCCGTCTGAGATATTGCTCTATCTACTCTCTGTTTCAACATTGACCAACTCTTCCCAGTTTGTGGAGGGTGGATGATTCAATGCATACCTGAGCCAATAAATCAATCGTTCTTCGTAAAAGGCGGGCAAGGTCTCCTTCATCCATAGCACAGTCTATCATAATCTCCCTCCAGGTTAGGCCAGAGGCCCAAGCTTCAACCATGCCAGAAAATTGGCTATCCAAGCAGCAAGATATCTACGACATTTAGTAAACTAATCATTTCCTTGTTATATATGCAAACAAAAATAGTCACTGATGACTGTTATACCAATCAAACACTCACATTTACCCCATGCTTCTCTTGAAGTTCTACAAGTGCGATTCTTTGTTCTTCTAATAAGTTGATGACATCCAAGACAATGGCAGAAGGTTCATATATGTAACTGTAGAAAGAAGATGTATGACACTGTTTCATGCTATTCTACAACCCCTTTCAAGTGTGTCTAGTATAGCAGAAAAGAATAGATTAATTCAATAATGAATTTTTGTAACAATCGGTCATGATAAGAATCAGATTTTGTTCAGGTAAAATTTGATGAAAGTGATTTTAAATTAAACTAATGAAACTAGTGAACAAAACCATTCTAAAAGAGCAGAATGTTCCGAAACGTGATCAGCTAAAGTAGGTTCCCAAGCAAGCTCTTACACGCTCAATATATCAGCATGTTGAATGTAAGAGCAAAGAAATAAAAGCACTAGGTACAGCCTAGGCAGCTAGAGCCTAACTGGGCCTAAGATGTGAAAACATATAGAAGTTCAAGAAAAGCTTTGTGCCTAGGCAGGAACATGTGGAAACTTAACAGCATGCACCTCTTGTAAGAAAATTAGATACCTATTTTTTAGTCAGATACCTGTTGCTTTTTGAAGGCCGGAGTTTTATCCCTTCTGAAACTAGACTTCCACAGACAGCAGCAAGTTGTGCAGGTTTTAAGCTTAGCAACAATTTACTTCGAAGAACCATGGCAAACCAGAGCTCATTTTCTCCTCGAATTGCTGCTGCTGTTTCACCAAGTGGAAATGTAACAAATGTATTGATATCCAATGCCCTGCTTCCATGAATGACATCGCTGACCTAGCATCAAAAAAGGATTACTTTTCTTCCTTTTTGGAAAATCAACCCATAGGTTTCAATAAAATTTACAGAGCCACTGGGAAAGCATTATTGGCATTTTTTAATGAGAGCAAGGGAAGCACTTTATTCATATTATGTCCAACCTGTATAAAGTCTTTCCATCCAGTTGGCTCAATCTGTTCAACCCGCTTTCTTAAACGATTTGACCTGACCTTCAACCTTCGAATTTTCTCCTCCGTGAATCTAACCATATCTACAATCTTCTTGAACTCTTTAAATCCTTCTGATCGTGATATCCTTTTCTTTAGACGAGAAACTTTACTTCTTTGGTCACTGTAGCTTTCTAATGTCTCATTGTATGCTTGAGAAAATTTGATGGCCTAACCGCAAAAGGTAACCGGTCAGCTGATGAGGTGATAAATCAGAACAGAATTGTTATTTGATATTAAGGAATACTATTAGTTTGTAATCATTATATTCTAGCATCATAAGCTACTTTAGAAGCAATACAATAAGGTGTTCACTGGCCCATTATTAACTCCTGAACTCACAAGCGTAGGAACATCTATATAATGGAAGTTGTATTATCCTCTTCTAACCCATTATTTATTGTTGTACTGTTTTATTGATCATTTGTCTATTTAAATAAGTTCACACTGATTATTGATGTTTTGGTATTTGATGAGTTTAATGTTAAGACAAGAAAAGTGACTTCACACTACCTCAATACCACATTTAACTTTTGTGGTGAAATATTTTTAAACATTGACCAATGATACATGTAAGTATAAAATGATTTATAGTTCGAATGCTTATATGAAAAAGTGGTCTTCATCAAGAATAATCTCATAAAAGCATAGCGTTTATATTTTTACTAAAACACGTCAATTAAAAACATTTGCCATTGTTCAACATCTTTGACCATTAAAGTTAAATACGGCCTACTAAAGTGAAAAAAAATTGATTCAGTTTACACTTGGGACCCAAAATAGGATGAAAAAATTGGAACATGAACATCAAATATAGGCATAGAAGTGTTTGTTAAAAGAAAAGCACATATATTTGGAACCCTAAACCCCCTTAGGACAAAACAAAAGGAAAATGTTAGTAACTTTGGGTAGATTCATGTCTGACTCATGAGCAATGATATCATGTTGGTCAACTAAATTTTCAACCTAACCAAAATGATGTGATAAATGAAAACGCCCATGCATTTGTGCACTGATAAACCATGCTGATGCAATGTAACAACCTCATCATCCTCAGAAAGCGTACTCAAAACTGGCACATTCAAACTCCAAGACCATGTCTCTAAAGATCCCTCCATGCACCACAAACCTCCAAACTCGGACTCTGTCAGCTTCTGCCATTGCATAGCCCCCTTCTCGACAAGTTCTGTCATAATATTACGAGGCAAAGCATCACTTTGAGCTAAAGCAACATTTGGGAAGCCTGTTCTGTAGACTGTTTTAATCCACTTTTCGGTGAAAAGATACCAAGAGTTATCTGAGCCAAGAGCCACATGGTAGCATGGCTTTAAATTATCTTCACTTTCACCTCCGCCATATTCATTACTTTCTGCTTCTATATTTAGAGCAAACATATCAGAGCAGTTAACCTGAAAGGGGACAAAATAATAATGTTACTGAATAAATAAAAGAAACCTGAACCAAATTTTAAATGTCTGAGACCAGAAAAGCTAAGGCAGAGCATTCGCACAGAAGTGACTCAAACTGTCATCATATTTAATACTCCGTAGTATCTACTGGGGCAAAAATACTTCTTTTGTTTGAATAAGACAATACATACCAAATTCTTAAGTTTTGGAGCAGTCAGCAAATCAAGACTTCCCAAATAAACAGAGGGAACTAGATATTGAACTCCATCTGCACCATTGTACTGCAAGCAAACAAATGGTAGATGGCCGTTCTGAAGCTCCTTCAACAAAGGCTTCAAAGAAAGCATTCTTTCCAGTTCCATTCTTCTTCGCAGTTTAGTACGCAAGCGTTTTTCAGCCTAAAAAAGCCAGTTGAGTTGTCCCAAATGAACAAGCATCAGTATTATATTGCCATTATAATACTAGCCTGAAAATAAACTAGCCTGAAAATAAATACCCTCTCACAAAATATAAAACAAAGTTTGCTCAATGTACAACATTATACTTTTGGCAAGGTACAATTGCTAAATGATATGAAATCCTACATAAATGTTTCAGACTTATTTGATATTTTAACTAAATTTATCATATTTAACTTGTTTGTTGACTTTGATAAATTTACCAACAGCCACTACATTACATACACACTTAAGATAAGAGTATGAAATACTTGATTTTACTGATTTGAATGAATTTGCTTGAGAGAAACTACTCTCAGCTGATCTTTATTTATAAGGTTCAGAATTACAACTTACAAGGAAAGAATCTAATATACATCTATCAATTACTAAGTCCTGATTTGATACAATCTGTACAATTAATGCTAAAATCAGGAAGGATATCATTTAGAATCATATCAAATCTCAACACTCCCCCTCAAACTGGTGCATAGATATCATATGCATCAAGCTTGTCACAAATATATCTTATCCTCGGACCGCGGAGTGACTTAGTGAGAAAGTCAGCTAACTGATCATTTGAGAAAGTCAGCTATCTGAACCATGATTATTAGGAAAGAACCGAAGGGGTAAGTGATGTATGTACTTTTAATTCTTCCTGAAGATTGGAAATCTCCTCATGAGCCAATGGTGACAGGAGCTTCTGGCTCTTTCTATCAATTGCTTCATCACTTATTTCTGAAGTGAGTATCTCAATCTCCTTTTCTATTCTAGAAAGCTCCTCTTTGGCTGCAACCATCACATTGCTCCCAACATAATTTCCAAAACTCTGTTCAATTAATTTTCTTGCTTCTTCCAGAGTACGTCCTCCTCGTGAAGTTTTAAGCTCATCTGACTCAGTTGATCCATGTGTGACCTTCGTCCCCTGGAGAAGAATAACTCATAAATTTGTATAACTTAGATTAATAATGATGAAAAAAATTGTTGAGTTGAAGTACATACTGCTAGAAGATTTAGCACCATTCCATAAGAAGCCGTAAATTGCGAGACAAGGGGTTGAAGCCCAGAAGACAGAAGTTTGCAGCCCTCTTCAGGACCTTCGTACGGGGTCTGAACAATGATTACGTGACCCATTTCATCAATACCCCTACGGCCAGCTCGCCCAGCCATTTGGAACAACTCATTTGAGCTTAATGAAACACGTCCACTGTCAGCCCTCTTGCTGAGAGATGAAATAACTGCTGTCCGGGCAGGCATGTTAATTCCAGCAGCCAGTGTCTCAGTTGCAAAGACAACCTTAACAAGTCCTCGCTGAAATAGCTCTTCAATAAATGACTTCCACAGAGGAAGACAGCCAGCATGATGTGCAGCTAACCCTTGTTGAAGACCCTTAACAGAGGAATCCCTCACTGCATCAGGATATTGAACACGGAATCTTTTCAAGGCGAGATCAACTTCACACACTTCACGCTCATCTAGTAGCTTACAGTTTTCAAGAGACTGAACAGCTGCATCACATCCCCTCCTACTAAAGATGAACCACACTGCTGGAAGTATATGCCTTTCCTTTAGTTGCCATAATGTGTCAACAACCCGGGGCACCTGAATATTGAAACCAAAACTAGATAATCATACAGGGTGTTGTTATGTTTACCTTGATTTTTTTGTTTATCACTTATACAGTTATACTTATGTTAATGAGATCAGACCGGACTAGACCAGATTCAGATATAAAGGACCACATTAGATGTTCTATTTCAAACAAGGAAACTAGACAAGCACAAACACTCAAACCATAAGTCCATAACAGAACCATTGTTTGTGATTGCGCAATGGAATTGCGCCTCATGGCGCGCCTCAGCTAATTTCTGGACTATGGCATCAAAGGCATCCGCTATGGCATGGAGAGTCTGGTGTACGCAATATTGCAGCAAGGCGTACACAATATTGCATATGCAATACGGCGCTTAGAAGCGTACGCAATAAAAGGTCAGAGTGTAAGGGTACTATTATGGGCCCACATTTAAATTTTAGGTCCCGATTTTTCAGTCATCAATCTAATAAATTTAAATTGTGATATGTCATGAATTTTGTTTTGGTGTACTGTTTAGAAATTGTTGGTATTATGTGGTACTTTTAATGTATTACTTTGCTAGGATTATAATCTCTTAAAATTTGTTTTAATATGACATTTGATGACTTGTGATGAATAAGTTTTATGTTTTATGTTTATATACATATATAGAGAGGAATGATCTGGTCAGGCGCGTGCCTGACCAGATGTCCTGTATGGCCAAGCCCATTTGAGGGTCTTCCGGGTCGAATTTTTTGATGAAATTTTTTGAACATGTTCTTCATAAAGTGTCGATGATGTCCACAAAATTTCAGCTTCAAATTCAATGGGAAGACAATCTATCATCATCAATCATCATTTACCCCAGTGCCGCAAAGGCTCCCACCTACGGTGGGGGGTAAGGGGGGGTCGGATGTACGCAGTCTTACCCCTGTACTAAAGCACAGAGACTGTTTTCGGATGACCATAATGAAAATCGCATCCAAAATTGCATGGACTGACTGCTGCTTCATAAAAAAGAAGCATAGACAGTTTGGTGAGCCATTTTGCTTTATTCCATCATATTCTCAAGCCAAAAAATAATGAATCTTTGGCTCCATTGCAAATCACAGAAAACACTGTGTTATATATATATATAAAAGACAGTATTGAAAAATACCGCGTTATATATATATATATATGGAGTGGTTCCCGTGAGAAAGGACTCCTGGGAGAGAAATGAGAATGAATCTGAACCGTTGGATAGTAATATGTGAAACTGAACTCTGCATTTGATGAAAATGAAATGTGAATTAGATTAGATTGAAGTGTGTGCAGAATAAAAGATAAAACTCAAATGTGCATTAGGTGAAATTGAAATGTCCATAATAAAGGTACAAAAATGGCATCACAGCGTACCATTTATTCTGCACAATTCAGTTTCACATCATGTCATTGTATGTGTATCCTTTGTGTTGCACATTTCCATTTGGCCTAATGCACATTTCAGTTTCATCTATTGCACATTGAATTTCACATAAAACAAATCTAACGGTCCAGAGTCATTCTCATTTTTCTCCTAAGATCATTTTCTCACTTGAACCTAATTATATACTATTTATTTACTACCTCCGTCCCGAAATCAAGTTCCCATTAACTATTCCATTGGTCAACTTAAATCACTCTTAATCTATTACTTTATATATCAAACTAGACGAAGTATCTGTGCGATGCACGGGACATATCTAGAATTGAAAAATGACTTAATTAAAATTATGTTTTGTGATAATACATAATGTGTGACTTTATCAAATAAAAAGGATGATAAAGTGTATGTGTTGTTACTTTTATTAATTAACTATAGGAAAAATTGAAAATAATAATCCCAACAATTACCGGTCCGCGGTTAATGATCTCAACTATCGATTATTACTGGGTGGTCCTAACTATAAGGGATATTTTTCCAAAAACAGTCCCTAACCGGTTACAACCTGATATAGCAGGTCAATTTTAAATTTGAACTATGTGTAAGCTTTAAATAATCTCAATTATAGTCGACCTTTTTTATTAATCCCAACTATTAACTCTCAATTTTCGGAAGATAGAGAAATATTTTTATAAACTTCCAAACTAAATATTTTTAAACACATATAAACAACTACGAAAGTTAAACAAATGTACCAAAGTTAAATAAAATATTTTTAGTCATTTTTTATTTATTTTCGCTAAAATTTTATTTTTTTCTTTTTTCCAATTTGTTTTTCCCAGTTGTGTTATCAATTTATGATTTTGTATTATTTTCTTTTATACCTGGTTGTAACTGGTTAGACACTATTTTTTAATAAAGGTCCTTATAGTTGGGACCACGCAGAAATAATCGATGGTCGGGATTATTAACGGCGGACCGACAATAGTTGGGATTATTAGTTTCAATTTTTCCTTAATTACATACGTAGTAGTTGTTGTATGAAAAAAGAAAAATTAGATTGTAAAAAATTCAAGTAAAATTAAAGTAAACGATTAAGTACAATCAATAACTCTATGTAACAATGAAATAACTGATATTACAATTACAATTATCAATTAGATTGTTGTTGTTGTTGTATTTTCTCTCATGTATAGTATTTGTTCTTTTAAACGCTAATATAGGGTGCACAAATCCATGACCGAATTCGCTAGCAGATGCAGTGATTAGCTATTGGCGGCAATGAATTCTCATCCGTATTTTAAAGATTGTTACATATGACTTTGACACATTATTTAAGGAGGAAAAAAGGAGGAAAGTAGTAGGGATAATGAATAGTGTAGAAAAAGTAAAAGATAATATATTGAAGTATGAAAGAGTAGATAAAAAGTATTATGTACTACGTATAAAAATTAAGGGAAATTGAGTATTTTTTAAGGGAAAACTTTCTAAAAAGGAAGGTGTAGCAACCTTTTAAATAAATCCTATAAAGAAAATTGTAGCAAACTTTATAATACGGAGAGAGTATCATTAAAGAAAGTACATCAAAAAAGTTTCATGATACACACTAATAATTGTAGATTTTTTTCAAAAATATTACTAAAATAAAATTATTTACATAAATATGACAAATAGTTACTACAATGTAGTGTCATGGTAACTTAAGTTTAAAAATTGAATATAAGTTACTATGATTCCATTACTACTTTAGTCATTAGTCACATTTTGTAAACGATATTTAATTTAATCATAAATAAGTAATTATTTCATAATTGTACTATCAATTGAACTTTTGTCGTCCTACTCCAATTTGTTCAAAATTAAACTTTTTTTTGTCATACTCCAATTTGTTCACGGTAGTATTTACAATATACAAATGAGGTTTCTTTTAAAAATGGTAAATTTATGATCCTTGAGGCAAATTACCATCATACGTATAAATTACCCAAATTTGCCAAATGCTATCCATATATACATTATCAAATATTTCGTCATTAGTAATGCTTGGTCAATACATATTATATTTCTTTCCTACTATAGTAACGTTCACTTAATACAATTAATTACAATTTTTTTCTTATTAATTCCCTATTTTATCCTTATTTTGAGAGGAATTTTTGGCTCCCAACACTGTTACTTTATTATACTCCCTCCGTCCCAATTTGTTTTGCAAAATTTCCTTTTTTGGTTTTCCCGAAATGATTTTCCACTTTCTATTTAAGATATGGAATGATGAACAAAATGACTGGTCTGCCCTTACTTTTACCTTACACGTTTTCTAGTCCCACCCACCCCATTCACTTTTAGATCGTAACTTTTGTACCTTCTTTCAGCATATGTAATGCTTCCTAGAGCTTGGGTACGGTTAAAGTGCTTTTGAATTGTACCTTTTCACCTTTTCAGTTTCTTCTCTATTTTATGAGGCTAGGGCAAAATAGGAACCTCAAAATTAATTTATAACCTTTCTTAATTCCCGTGTCGGTCAAAGTTTGCACCTCAATTCGGGACGGAGGGAGTAGCAAACTTTAAAATACGGAGAGAGTATCATCAAAAAAAGTTTCATGAGTCACACTAATAATTGTAGAATTTTTTCAAAAATATTACTAAAATAAAACTATTTACATAAATATGACTAATAGTTACTACAATGTAGTGTCATGGTAACTTAAGTTTAAAAATCCAACATAAGTTACTATGATTACATTACTATTTTAGTCATTAATCATATTTTTGTAAATGATCTTTAATTTAATCATGTATAAATAATTATTGGGAAAGTTCCTGAAATGGGACCAAAAATGTTTGTAAATTCCAAAATAGGAATGTCATGTTTTTATTCCCAAAATAGGAGTAATTACTGTCAAGTTTGGAAAATACTGCCATATTTAAAGTCCGGTACTGCCAAAACATGACAGTAACTAGTCCCATTTTGGGAATTAAAAATATGGCAGTCCCATTTTGGAATTTACAAACGTTTTTAGTCCTATTCAGGGTAAATTCTCATAATTATTTCATAATTGTACTATGAATTGAACTTTTTTTGTCCTCCAATTTGTTCACAATTGAACTTTTTTTATCCTACTCCAATTTGTTCACCGTGGCATTTACAGTATACAAATGAGGTTTTATTCTCTTAAAGATGGTATATTTATGATCCTTGAGGCAAATTACCATGATACGTATAAATTACCCAAATTTGCCAAATTGCTATCCATACATACACCATCAAGTATTTCGTCATTATTAATGCTTGGTTAATACATATTATATTTCTTTCCTACATTATCCTAGTAACGTTCACTTAATACAATTAACTACCAAATTTGTTTTTCTTATTAGTTCCCTATTTTACCCTTATTTTGGGCGGGATATTTCCCTCCAGTTATTGTCCCAACACCGTTACTATATATTATATAAAGATAAAGATATAGATAGATAAAGACATAAAGATACCTATTAAATACTTCGTAGCATATAATTTACCTTTAATAGTACCGCCTGTGGAACTAACTGTGGAAGTTGTACTTATTACGAACTCAGTATTTCATATGTGTATATTATTAAAAAAATTGGGTTTGATCATCTTACCATAAACATGAGGGTGTACTTACCATTCTTCCATACGTTTCACTCATACTCTACGTCTCTACATTCCAGTTTCCATACGTGTCTTTGTTACGTTAGTAGATTGTCCTTTGGTATTATTACTTGCTAAGAATGATCAAAATCTGGCAACATATCAGCATATTAGTGACCAAAATCTGGACAGTAATTTCCTCCTCCAATAGCTATTTCCAAATTAGCAATAACGGAAAGAGGGAGAAGTTGAGAGAGTCTCTCTCTAGCCATTCGTGGCTATTCTTCCCCTCACGGTCTCCTCAGGTCGGCACCACCTCTCACGGTGGCCGCCGCCGCCGGAGCCTTCTGGCTCCGGTGGGTTTTAGCTACATTTTGGAAATTATACACCACTTTGGTGGTTGTTTTGGGACTGATCTTGGAACTACGTAGTGAGCTGTTCACTGGTGCTTATACTGGACAGTATTGCCGGAATATGTACTTGGATTACTGGTGGTCCTTGGTTTTATGGAGCTTGGTGTTACTGGAACCTGTCTAATGGCTGAAGATCTCGCCGGACTGTGCTAAATCACCACCTCCGACAGTTAGTAACGCCGGATACTAGCTTTTGGAGGGATGTGTAACGGAGGTGAACGGGTCGGAAAGGGGGGTTTGGTGCGAGAAGGTCGGGGTTCGAAGCCTACGGATGTGATCCAGAGTGGAAGTTGACATGGGGGTGAAGATTAGGCTAAGTCCTCGGTCGCCAGAAGTCAAAGATCACCGGAAAACACCTCTCCGGCTCAATAACGGTTAGTAGCCATGGCTTCATCTTTGATTTGGGGGGGATGGTAGGATGGTGAACGGGTTGGGTTTGCTTGGAGTGGTGGTCTTGATGGTAGGTCTAGGCTTGGTGGTTTTGATTGTAGGCAGTTCAGTTACCAGGTCGGCCACCTCACGTCGCCGGACTTTCGTTATGTGAGATTTGATTCTTGGGAGTGACGGAGGGTGGGGTTTTGGTGGCTGTTTTGACTGGTTAAGATTACAGTAAAGGGTCTTCTGACGACCAGAAACCCCTTGGGTTACTCTGGGTTAGTGTGAAAGTCCTTGGTCTCTGCTTGCTTGAACTCACCGGAAAATATGTCCTTGACGATAACAATGATTAGTAGCCTTGGGAGCGGTTTTGAGAGGGTGGGTTGCTGCTTGGTGAACAAATTGTGAACGGGTAAGGATTGTGTCAGATGGTGGTTCTTGGTGACAGATTTGATCGTAGGCGACCGGTTACTTCTCCGGCTTGGTTTTCCCTTCACCGCCGTCATGCCTTTTGCCGTTGGGGTGATGCCGGAACCCGAGGGTTGGAGGGTTGTGAGGGTTGGGTTTACTGTCATCTGCGTATGATGGCTTGGATTTTGGTTTGCTGGTTTGGCTGGCCGGGGGTACGCCGGAGAAGATGAAGGGAGCTGGTCGGAGGCACTGATGACGCGTCGTCGTCCTGTAGCTAATTGGCCACCCTATCCTTTCCGCCTGGCGTGGCATTTTTTCGAAGTTTGACTTTTTTTGGTTTCCCGCCCAGTCGATGCGGCGCTCCAGCATAGCGATGTGCTAGGCTTTGGTTTGGGCTGCCACTTGGAAAACCTAGCAATATTTTGGACTGGACGCTGGGCCTTGTTAGGTTGTTTTTGACGCGGATGACAATATGCATATGGGCGACGGGCCTTCATGCTTCTTTGCACTTGCTGGGAGTTTGCTGTCGCGTGGAGAGGTGATTGGGCCCTATCGGGTCTGGTCTGGATGCTTGGCTGCCTCAGTTTACCGAGGATGGGCCTTTGATGGCTCGATTGTGGACTGTTCTTTTGGACTTTATTTTGATGTACTTTGACTGTATTTGATTACTAAGCTAGGGCTTGTCCCGTGTTAGTTGTGATCTATTTTGCTGGACTGTCTAAATTCCTCTCCCTCACCTTTGCTGTGAGGTGGGGGTGAGGGGGGATGTGAACGGTAGTTGCTATCTTAGGTTAGTTTACTAGCTTAGATAGTTATTTTTGACACATGTATTTTGTTACTTTTGGATGACTTTTTAATATATACTTACATTTCATCCAAAAAATAAAAAATTAGCAATAACGGATCTTACCAAATTGAGAACTTTGAAACTAACGTTTGGGCGGTAAAGTTTATTTTTGACATTAATTAATTAATTCTCCATTATGACCCTAATTTGGGCGGGATTTTCCCTCCAATTGTTATCCACACTCTGTTACTTTATATTATATAAAGATTATATAAAGATTATTATCAAATTTAAATTTTCTTGATCAGGCTTTCTAGCAGTTTTAATGAAGTTTCTGAATATATAAATTTTGATTACTAAAAATTTAAGCGTGAACAGGGATCGAGTTGCTTTATCGTCAGTCAAACCTTGTATACAGCAACGGGAACTTCTTTATGGGATGGAGGGAGTATATATATAAAGCGCGGTATTTTTCAATACCGTCTTTTTTCAGTACTTAAAAGAAAATTGCTAATTCGCCGGGATTTGGTCTTTACCTATGAGCGGCGAAGCGCAATTCTCTCATTTTTAGAGAGTAAACTTACATCAAAGCCATGCCTTCGAGACTTCCTCCTATACCATTCATCCTTGTGTACAGTAGTTCCCAATTCATCAAGTTGTAGATATTTGAATGACAGGATCCTACTCCAGTTGGCAAAAAAACAATACCGTCATTCAGAGTTTCCTTTTGTTGCTGAAGGGCATAAACTTTCTACAAATAAGACTGAAACTTTCAGATATGTTCCTTTAATTTATGACAATAAAATATTGTTGAAATCACATGGAATACGATTAGAGTAGCTTGTACAGTCATCTATCAAAAATAGGGTAAAATAACTGCATCTACTAAATATGCATACCAAAGTTTGATGAGGCGAGTTTAAATTGACACATCAAAACCATACTACTCTATAAAAATGGCCAAACCCTATAAGGTTGCGTGCTGCATGGAGAAATTTGGTTAGCAACACCTGTTGAAATTGAAGAACATTTACCGGTTAACGCTTGTGCCTTTTTCATCAAGAAGAGGTAGTAAAGCCGCTTTTGTTGAGAAGTGCCAAGTCAATGGAACTGGCCGTTTAGGTGAGGTCACCAACTCAGTTCTGCCATGAATCTTAAAAAATCATAATATTAACATAATGTTTAGATGAAGGTAGTCAAAGGTGAGCGCTTAAGCGCACCACGCGAGGCGCTACAAAGGGTAAGCGCTTTAAGAGTTCCCAGGCACAGCGACCTTAGTAAGGCGCTTTAAGCTGCATGAAGTGAAGTGTAGGCTTAAGTGCCTAGGTCAGATAATGATTTTGAGCTGATTTTCTTTCCACAAAGATGTGAATCTATTTTCCAGAAGCCCATATTCATATTTACACGTCAGTGAGCTATCCCATCCATGTAATTAGACATAACAGAAAAATCCTCCACACAAGACAGTAGAACATGGTGCAGGGACTTGGGTAGTACTAGTATTAGAGAGAGTTTCAAAGTTCTTCACAGTTTTTTCTCCTTTAGTGATGATGAAAGGTGGTCGCTTGACATTGTGTGACTGTGATGTTAGTAGAACAACAGCAGCACAAGGACCCATCATATTTACTAGGAAGCATGCCACATCTACTAGTGATCGACAATATAAGACAGCACAATTGATCCCTCTTTTAACAACAAATGATCTAGAGAGTTGGGACTTTGGAATTCAGCTAGAATCTAAATAACATTGCAATTTATTTTTTATATTTAAGTTATGACTTATGAATTTGGAATTTAATTTTTGTAAAATATGACTTTGTTTATTAATCTGCATTGACTAGTATAATGGATTATGAAAATATAAGGTTGTTGTGCGATATATTATTCTTGCTTTGTTTGCGCATATAGTTTAAACTTTTATAGAATTTATCATGTTTGTCAAATCTAGAATAGTATACATAATCTTTTCAAAACTGTGCACCGTGCATGAGTCAGCCATGCACCTCAGGCAATATAGGACTCTAGCGCCTTGAGTGCGTTTTAGGAATTTGACTACCTTAGGTTGAAGTCACTATTCAGATTTGGATACGGTGGAGTTAACTTCACCTGAAGTTACTCTATCAGCTATTTTGATGGAACTTAAACGATGAAGTTCATGTCCAAAATCATTTGGATGGTTGATGCAGTAACTTAGTGTGTAGTTTAACTCTACCAGATCGCGATCCCAATAGTTAAATTTTACAAGAAACTGGGGACTGGAAAATTAATGCTTTAGATGATATAATGATCATGAAATGAATGCAGCCCATATGATGTCATCATTGTTAAAGTTCATTTGTGATAACTAAATAAACCAATAAAGCAAAGATATTGGTTGTCCGGTTGTCCCACCTACTGGTTCTGTCAATTGTAACGTACTCTTGCATCAAAATGTGTGAAACGAAGAACATATTTACCAATAAAGATGAACGAGTAAAGCAAATAAGCAGTAGCACAATATCATTGATATGCAAAACAGAAATGACAGAAAAGGCATTACCTAGACAAAGTGAGTCTTCTATAACTATCATTCTATGAAGGTTAAAAATGTGAAAGGTAGAGTAGAGTGATGTATGTTAAAGGTGCAGTACCTGACCTATCCAACCAGCCAACTCATCTGGATTAGAAACAGTTGCTGATAAACATATAAGTTGAACTTCCTTTGGGCAATAAATAACCTAATGAATTTAGATAGGTGACACCATGTAAACATGTAAAATATATCCCAAACAATTTATGAAACAATGGCGCCTAACCAAAAATACATACAATTTCTTCCCAGACTGTACCCCGAGATATGTCACTTAAATAATGTACTTCATCCAACACAATCACATCAACGTGAAGGAGTCCACTTCCTGATGAAGACATCCCAACACTGTCCAGTCATCAAAAGAAATGAAAAGAATCATGACACCTTTGAATGTAAACGAAGATGCCTAAAAAACTACTTGCATATGACTGAAATATGATGCCAAACAATCTATTGGTAACTGATTTCATATAAGAGTTATATAAAGTAGACTCCAATGTGCACCAAGCTGCCCTTTATAAAGTAGACTCCACACAGTAAAGTAAGCATCACATTCTCTGTCAAGGTGTGATGAGCATGCATGCTCAAGTGACTTCACAATTACCAAAAGTCCAAACTAATTGTTTTTTCCATCACTTAACAAGCATATTGAGACATAGAAGAATGCAAGCCAACTTATAAATGTCACAGAAGCAATTTTAATGTGATAAAAGTCTTGCCACAGAACTCTTATCTTGGCCTGCAGTCCCTTTTCCCCGTCATCGGTCTTACAGTGTCTCGTCCATGTTTCATAAGCCAAGGCACTAGGCCTATGTGGAGCACGATTCTGTTGACATTTAATGTGCCTTTTCACATTGTAAGGAGCAAAAGTGTTGCCTATATCTCTAAGTAAATAAATCAGTACTCATCGGATAATCGGTCAAAGACCAAGTAGCGAGAAGATCTGATTACTTGGGATTACTGGGTGACAATTTGGTCTTATACTAATAGTTTTCTTTAAATATGGTACAAATTTTTATAGCAGTAGCCTGATAAGTATTATATATAACGAAAAAAATAGCAATCCATAAAAATGAGCATAAACCACAAACTTTTAGAGGATCCATCATCTAACCAGTCCGATTTTCTAATATATGTCTTAAGTTAATCCTCGTAAGGATTCCCGTAAATTACTTCGACATAGAAAACACAAATTCCTAGTAAGAAGCCAAAGAAGAAGAAGAAGAAGAAGAAGAAGAAATTATGAAGACCAAGTACTCAACGAGAAAGTGTGTCACCAGAAAGTGAACCCTACGTAGGTATCACCAGAAAGTGTAATAGCATTCTCTCGGTAATAAAATTTCTCTAGTTCACACAGTGGACTAGCCGGTCAGTTTGACCGGTGAACCACTTTAAATCTTTGTGTTCTTCTTTAGATCTCGCATCTTACAATCGTGTGCGTGCGTGTATTCGTCAAAGCCCTAATTCCTAACACATAGATGTGTGCTCCATGAGAAGAAAATATAAACAGGCAGGCATTGACTAAGAAAAACCAAGTGAAAGAAGAAATTTACTAAGAGATTGATACCATACATGAGGAGCTTGTTTGAGACCATAAATTGATTTGCAAAGACGCCACACAAATCCAGAACCATCATGGAACCTAAGAGGTTGCTTCATGCATTCTTCCGTGTAAGAATGCATTATTCACATCTAGCTGATTGATCGGCTAGCCATGATAGGGGGCAATAGTCAGGATGACCCTAATAGTTATTAGTTTAATGACCAGACTAAAAGTGTTAGACTAAATTTCTAGTGTTGATAAAAGCCCTTAGCGACCAACCGAACTTTAAAATGATCAAAGGAACCATCTGGTTTATATTTTACCGTATTGACCCATTTACATCCAATAATATTTTGACCAGAAGGGGCGGGGAACGAGTTCCCAAGTACCCAGTCTAAACAAGGCATCAAATTTTGTTGTCACATCATTCCGCCATTCTGGGACACGTAAAGCTTGAGAAGCACGAGTAGGAATAATGTGATAAGGTAAATGAGATTGAGTAGCTAGGTTGGCTTGCTTCCGAGGTTGAAGTGTCATGGGATGAGATCGTTTGGGTGGAGAGTGAAGTTGGTCAAAGGATTTAGTGGTAGTAGTTGGGGCGGAGGTGAGAGGTGGATGAGAGGTTGGTACAACATTTGGTTTAGGTCGATGATGGTAGGTGATTATTTGTGGTGGTGTAGGTGTAGGTGTAAGCGAGAGGGGTGGGTTGGCAATAATGGGGGGTCAATTGTATGTGTGGTGGCAGATGACATACCGGGGTCAATTTGTTGAGAAATAGAGGATAGCTCCTTTACTTGCGTACTTGTATTAGGATGAAAGGAAATAGGTGATTAGAGCATGGAAAACCGACTCATTAAACGCAACATGTCTGCTAACAAAGATACGGTTAGTAGTACGATCAAGACAAAGATAAGCACTTTGTTGATCACAATACCCTAGAAAAACACATGGTTTAGAGCGAGGTTCCAACTTATGGGTTGTGTAGGGAGGCAACCAAGGAAAGCATTGACATCAGAAAATAGCCAGATTAGTATAGTGGGGTGGTTGTTGAAAGAGTTTCTTGTATGGGGTGCTAAAATTAAGAGATGATATGGGTTATCTATAAATAAGATAAATAGCAATAAGGAAAGCATAAGGCTAATATTTTAGAGGCATAGAAGCGTGGTGAAGTAAAGTAATTCCAGTTTCCGCAGTGTGACAATGTCTCCATTCAACGAATCTATTGTGTTCTGGAGTGTAGGGGGTAAGTAAGTGAGAAATACCACATGAACGTAGGTATTTCCCTAGAGTAATTTATTCACCACCCCCATCAGAATAAACCATTTTAACCACCTCAAATTTGTGGGTGATGGTACCAAATATATTTAGTAAAGTGATGGGAAAAAGACTTCAATTGGACTAAAACAAGTGATATGAACCTAATTAGGACTTGCAACTTTTTAAACCTTAAATAGGACTAATTTTGAACCAATGCGACAAAAATACCCTTAGACAAGATTACGTACTCGGTACTCCTACCCAGCTTCCGCCAACATACACATCCATTAAATCCTGTCTCGCCAGCCAAGAGGCGAACAGCCGAAGATGGAGGCCTTCGGGCGGGATTAAGAGCCCGTTTGGTAGCACCAAAATCGGCTGTTTTGGCTGATTCTGCTGAAATTTATGATATTCTGGCTGGAGTGGCTGTTTTGGCTGATTCTGCTGATTTAAGAAAAAAATATTTTAAAAATATATTTTATTAATAAATTAAAGAAAAAATTATATGTAAAAATAGCTAAAATGGTCCTCTACAGTAACTTCAGCCAATACAGCCAGAAAAGTAACTTCAACCTTACTTTTTCGGCTTATTACACAATTCAGCGCGCGAAAGTAAAAGTTACGTGTTTGGTGAAAAAGCTGGCTGATAAGTCTGATAAGCCGAAAACAGAGTTCTCCAAACGGGCTCTAATTGTACTCGTTGGTGCTGATTTGAGACCCTCTATGTCCATTGTCGCGGGCAGGATTAATCTGTTTCACTCGTAGTTCGAAGGGGACATGGACAATCGTCATCCATGTATCAAACACAAAGCCCTTTGTCAATATTGGGCCATGTCCCAACGGCCCATTTCCATAACCGGTCCTACAAGGTAAGATAATGATATTTACTCAATAGAATAATTACAAATATTCTCCTACCATGCCCTAAGCTGAGACAAGCCACCGGTCCCTTGCATATTTGACGATGTCACTGGTCGCATCTGAGTTTGTCGTGACAATAGTAGGGTTACTTAGAAAATTATTTCCGCTAGAGTTTGTCCTACAAGCCGACAATCAAGGTGTAGATATCTTCAAACTTAAAGGGGTGTATTGTATTAGGAATTAGTGACAAAATTTTAAAAGCCCATGGATTTCAAATATGCAAGGGCATGGTGGGGATTGATTGATAAGAACAGAAAAATAAAATCAACGGGGTGAACCGTTGCCCAGATAATCAACGATAAATAAATACCGTTGCCCAGAACCAAAAGGCTAAACCAACTTTTATTCCAAGATAATAAGAATGAACCCTGGCGAGGGGTATAAATAGCCTTCTACAAGCAACCTTAATCAAGCCCAAATTAATTAAATCCTAATTAGGCCCATACTAACTCTACTAAGTATTTTACTAATAAAAGGCCCAAAACAAAACATAACATTAACTTAAAATAATATATAAAACTATAACCCTAACCCACAACCAGCCCACGGAGGTGGGCCCAAGCCCGTTCCCGCCCCTTGATCTCTCTGCTCTCTATCAATCCATCCTCCTTCGAAACAACCTTGTCCTCAAGGTTGGAATCCGAAAACTGCCTCACAGAGCTCTCTTTAATCCTAGGATCTGATTTAAATGGATTGTTTTCTCTTTCTTTGCGCAGAAAATGCACTTCTTCAGCTCTTACACCTAAAAGGAAAAAATAATTTTCCCCAATTTCCTCTCTGTTTTCCAAATTAGCCCCGTCCAGTGTTCCTATGATTAGGCACCCATTCAGTTCAAATTTCATATTGCTATTCCACCTGGCCTCTAGCAGTACAACTTTTGAGGGGAATGAGGACCAATCAAGCCTACCCTTCCCATCATTCCTCTCCTTAAATCTGTATATGGTATCCTGAAGTGGCGCACCACTTAGCAAAATTTGTTGTTTAAGACTTAAAAGTTTTCCACTTTCTGTTGCATCGCCAGGATCAAAGACAGCACAAATATGATGAGCACTAGAGTGAAACTGTGCAGCAGATTCATATTGACCACAGTTAACTTGAAATAAGTTTATGTCCTCTGCACTAGCTTTGGCCCGCCAAAGTCTTGCAACTTCCCAGGGACTGAATTTATCAAGCCAACCTTCAGTAACTTCCTCTTGTCCAGCTTCTATAATACGTTGCTTGTGTACTCCAAACTTGTACCTCAATCCATAAACCCATGCTAGCGAATCTAGGGTTGCCATGGAATCAAGAAAGCAAGAAGCAAGCCTTCCCGTTCCACAATTTCCTAGTGCTGCATCTTTTTCCTGCCCAGCAATCTCCTCAGGTTTGCACGCAGATGTTGACGCAGAATCCGGTGACGCGGCTGCCGATGAGTGCCCTTCTGCCGTCGGCGACATAGAAGTCTTTATGAGCGCAGCCAAGGAGGAAGTGACGCTGTGCGGCTGTCCGTCGCTGCTGTGCGCAAATACCGTGGGGCTGCCAACCGTGTCCGGGCTTGTTTCCGTCATGACTGGTGGAACAAACGCCTTGGTAAGCGCTGTCAGGGAAGTAGGGAAGCGGCGATCTCTGCCAGACGCATGTCGTGCTCCTCTAGGGTTTGATTCATCCGAATTTGCTTGGCCACCATCTCTCTCAAACAGTCAATCTGAGATCTCATCATCCTGGCGGGACAGGATCCGACAGGTCGGGCCAATTGATAAGAATAGAAAAATAAAATCAACGGGGTGAACCGTTGCCCAGATAATCAACGATAAATAAATATCGTTGCCCAGAACCAAAAGGCTAAACCAACTTTTATTCCAAGATAATAAGAATGAACCCTGGCAAGGGGTATAAATAGCCTTCTACAAGCAACCCTAATAAAGCTCAAATTAATTAAATCCTAATTAGGCTCATACTAACTCTACTAAGTATTCTACTAATAAAAGGCCCAAAACAAAACATAACATTAACTTAAAATAATATATAAAACTATAACCCTAACCCATAACCAGCCCACGGAGGTGGGCCCAAACCCGTTCCCGCCCCTTGATCGCTCTGCTCTCTATCATTGATGTGGTGTTGAGAATAGAAGGCTTAGTGCGAATAGATAGTTGAGTGCGAGATTGCGTTTTGGGCGTGGAATGTTGGGTCTCTCTCACAGGAATATCAGAATTGTCTGCGTGGAAGAAACTGAGTGGATTGGAGAGAAAGCACGTGGGATTAATTCCAGAGGTTTTAAGTTGTGGTATTCGGGGAGAGAAAAGACCAGAAATGGAGTTCACGTTATTGTGGCGTGTGACTATGTTGAGGATGTGGTGCAAGTTTTAGAAAGAATGACGGCATCATGAGCATTAAATGGATGATAGGGGTGAGGCCCGGGTGAGATCATGTATGTGGTAAATCTTTTAGGACTAGGGCTTGAATGTTATTGTTATTGTTTGTATCCTAAATTAATCAGAGTGAGACTTCTCAGATGAAATTATTACTACAAATTTCTTATTTATTGATATATAATAACAAAAATTCCTAGTAAGAAGTATGGGCAGAAGAAAAAATTGAAGAAGATGAAGAACTCTCTGAGAGACAAAGCCTTTGTCAGGAATTTTAAGTGTTAGTGCTTCCAAAACATAGACTTCGTAATGTTCATTCGCGTTAACCAAAATAAAGTCCCTACTTCTTTCAAATCCCAATCTTCAATTTCAATTTTAGTGTGACCAAGTTACTCAGCGTATATTCGTATAAAATGATTCACCGCATCGTGAAAATTGCCAACTATTAGGCAATCAACTCGAGAGTTTTGGAACGGAATGAGTAGGTAAATTACTCGGCAAGGTGTATGTTGGAGGAGTGAGTACTCAAAGATTAGATAACATAACTCCTTCATCCAAAGTGGGCCACTTCTTGAAGAATGAAATCCTACGTTGCCAATACTATGTATTCTCTCTAAAAAAACTCTGTGTGGATTTTGCTATCTAGTCTACTTGAAGAGGCAAGTGAATCATAGAGAACACGTGATATAAAAATTAAAATGGCAAAGTGGAAAATTAAGATTGTGATATGATCTAATATACCTCTTATACAACATATTGCGCAAAATCTCTGTAGTCATAATCAAAATCTGAGCATCTTTATTGATAGCTGAATCTCCTGTAAGAAGCCCAACGCTCCTTTCGCCAAATGTCTCCCTGGAAAGACCATAATTACCGACTCTATTCTATGTGCCACGTATATCAAAGCAGTAAAAGAAACATGCTATCATTTGTGCACGTTAATAAAAAGTAAAAACTACTTTTGCAAATTCAGTACCTGAATTCGCGAAATTTCTGGTTTGACAGAGCCTTAAGAGGGGTGGTGTAGAACAATCTCTTTCTTCTTGCCACTGTTGCAACAGCAGCAGCTTCAGCAATTAAAGTTTTGCCACTACTTGTTGGCGCAGACACCACAACTGAAGAACCCCTTAGAAACGCTTGAATCGCCAATCTCTACAAGGAAATGTCTTTAATCCCATATTCAAGTTTTCAATCGTGATTCGATAATAGCTGCAAGGTTATAAAAGCAAATTACCTGGAACTTATCAATACGGAAATTGTAAATTGAAGCAAGTTCGTGAACATCCATAATTTCTTCTCCGAATTCCCGGACGTCCTTGCAAACCCTATCGACTCTCTGCCACTTAAATTCTTCGAACCTCAATTGATCCTCTTCCACCACACCAATAGAATCTTCAGTTTCGATTTTGTGCTCACTTTCTTCGTCTCCATCGGAAGCCTCAGCTGAAATGACTTCATACTCTTCCGCAGCTTCTTCATCATCATCATATTCCCCTTCCTCGTATTCTTCTTTATAGTCTTCTTTTTCATCTGAGACTTGACACTCAAACGGAAAAGCAGGCCTTGGAAACTTGTTGAGCGTTCGAGACTGTAGAATTCGCTTCCCGGTGCCGAACCCTAGGTTTCTGAAATGGAGATACGGCTTATGGAGTGCAAAAGAAGGCTTGTTCTTTGTGAGAGATTTAAAGGTGAGAGGTTGAAAGCAGAGGGAGAGTGCCGACTGTATGACCATGGCGGGAGACGGTTGAAATCAAGTGGTGTGTGTCCTGCCGTCAAACCAAATAATGCTATGGTCATATACAAAAGAAAAATTCCCTTTGTACACCTTATAAACATTAGTACACCTCATTGTCTATGACAAAAACAATTCAGGTTTTGTCTGTGAACTGGCATTCACAGACAAAAAAAACTCTCACAGACAATGGGGTGTACTGATGTGTATAAAAACGTGTACACCAAGAATTTTCCTATACAAAAATGTGGCTCATAGACTTTTGGTAAGAAGTTGTCTGTTACCACAGACATTTACTTTTGTATACATTGATAGCCGCCAGACACTAACACCAAATTGCACATCAATCAATATATGTGCAATGTCTATGCACAGACAATATTTTCATGTTGCACGAACAATTATTGATCTGTGTGCACAGACAATATTTACCACACACACTATAGTTGTGCGGCTCACAGACAATAGTTGTTTGTGTGATCAACTTTAGTTGTCCGTGTGATCAACTTTAATTGTCTGGGTGAACAAAAAAATTAATTGTCTATATACATCCAAATGAATGATGTAATTGTATGTGTAATAATTTACATGTAATTTGGAAAAAAATAGAAAATTAATAAAAATAGATGAAATAAGATGAATAAGCTTATTTGGTACCAATAATGAAAAACAATTTGTTGGGATATATTATCCCGGCCTATTACTGTTCAGGAGCCCAAGACATTATCCAGTACGGAGCCCGAGCAGCTAGGTCCATTTCGGCCCACTCTGGCCCACTCGGCATCGGCCCGTTTGGCCCGTTAGGGTGGAGAGCCCCTTCTCTCCTTCCCCTATTTATAGGAGGTTTTCCCTCCATGTAAAGGATCTTCTTCTTCTTCCTCCTTCTCACTAGAATAGCTAGCTAGCTTACAATACTCCATTAATGGGAGCTACAACATATGTACTTTGTAATGGTGAGGAGAGATTAATGAGAATGAGAGGGCTTGAACATTAGCCTAAAAAGTCTCGTGGTTTTCTCCCTTTCCGGGTTTCCACGTAAAAATAGCCTGTTCATACACATTTATACATATATTTACTATATCGTGTTGGATTAAACTCAACACTGGCGCCGTCTGTGGGAAACTGTCCAAAAAGATTCATGTGTTCTAAACAAATTTCATACGAAAAAACTATTGATTTCAGCAAAAAAGAAGAAGGATTCTGGGTTTTTGGATCTGGGAGAAATCCGGATATAAGACAGGGGTGTCCGGCAGCACCAGTCATGGCAGTCCAACTAACCAGGTTCTCCGTCGGAAGAGACTGTTCGAGTTCGCCGCCGTGGCTACGCCGGACCTCGCTGCCACTGCTACTGCGGACCTCGCTGCAACCAGAGCACTAGAGGCGCCTAATCTGGCGGACCTCACGAGCCTAGCTCCTGAGCCCATCTACAGGAAAAGCAAGCGTCGAGGAGCTCCAGTCCTAGAACCTGCCAGATCTCGGAGGGGGGTGTTACCGCCGGCGTGCGATGGCTGAAGCTTCACCCCGCCAACCGGTGAACCATGTCCTCACCTCCGTCCCAGCTCGACCTCCAGCCAGGTGCCTGTACCTCCGTCATCTGGCCTTGGGTGGGTGAGCCGGTGCTTCAGCTGGCTTCTCGGATGATACGGAGTACTGATAGTGCTCGAAGGCCTTGGTCCTCAGGAGGCCACGTGAAAGGAAGTGAATGGTGGCTGAGGGATAAGCTTTGGAGCATTTTGGACCAAGTCAAATGGGGGAATACCACCATGCCGAGATCCTCTTGGCTTGGACGTACGTAAACTTTGGGATTTGAAAGTGGCTAAATAATTGGAGTCTTGGCTCTTGGGCATATCGTGGAGAGTTTTGACCGAGTCAAACAAAGGGGAAGCAAAATAATTTCAGAAATTTCTAGCAGCCGAACCCCATCCAAAGCTAAGTTTCTAACTTCTTCACCTTTTCATTAAAGCATGCGTCGTGATTATTAAAGAAGTAGAAATATTGCTACTAATTTTTATCACTATTATTTATTAGGGATTAAAACTCCCGAAATTAAATAATGAGAGTGATGCTCTAAGTGATAATTAGTTTTACTGTCATTTAAATTAAATGACTGATTGTCGTGGGCCCATCGGCCCGCTCCTGATCGGCTTTAATTAGCGGGCGGAGCATACCGGAATGGCCTTTGATAGGATAACATCATTGCTATTGCCTATGATATCCCTATTATTTATTAGGGATAGAATGTCCCGAATTAAATAATGTGGAGCGAAGCTCATGTGATGGTTGGTTCATCCAACATTTTATTGAATATTCAATTTCTTGTGGACCCGTTGGCCCACTCTCGATCAGCTTGATTAAGCGATCTGAGCGTCTCCAAAAGGGCGAAGCCCCGACGACACATTTTAATTGGAGGGTTGCGCATTAGTCCACACGGCACTACGTGCCCGATCGACGACCGTACCCCAGAACTATCCGCGCCGCTAGGCGCGAAGTGACTATTGCCAAACGCGGCCTGTGGGGCCCGAGGGCACCGAAGCGCTCAACCTCGTTTTTTCGAGGGTAGTGCGACCAACTTGGGTCTGAGTTTGAAAACTCACAGACCGATGAATGTCTCTATGTGACGTTCGGCGGGCTTCTAATTGGCCCCGCCGCGAGCTGCTGCGTCCATTAACCCCGCACGATGAGCCGGGCCGAGGGTCACGATGGCCCATAGGCCGGTAATCGTGGATGTTAAAGAGAAGCCATGCAGATGGTTATGTGTGTATACATATTGTCGGGCCGTGCGGCCCGTTACCATGCTTATTGCGCAGCTGAAGCCGCTCGACGTGATCGAGCGAAATGATTAAAAGACGCTCGGTCTGAATCCCAAAGACGCTCAGGGCCAGCTAAAGAGGAGACCACCACGGTTGAGAACCGTGGGACGAGCATCTCCACCCCAGAGACCGATGGCCCAGGAAGAACACCTAGAGGCCGAGGGTCTGGAGGGAACTGCCACGGCGAAGAACCGTGAGACGATCATCCATCATCCAGAGGCCGAGGGCCAAGAGGAAACCATCACGGCTGAGAGCCATGATACGAGCATCTCCACCCCAGGAGCCGGTGGCCTAGAGGAGACCACTACGGCCGAGGGTCGTGGGACCATCCTTACATCACGACCGACCTCACGGTACGGCGTGTTTATCACCTGAAGACCGGTATCATCCCCGCGTTGCGTGGATGAGAGCCGTTGCACGGATACACTTGATCGGCTTCTCATTGCCGACATCATTATATCACGACCAGCCTCCTGGCTCGGCGTGTTTTCCATATTTGAAGACCGGCCTCGTCCCCGCACTGCGCGGATGATGACCGTTGCTTGGATTTCAGGTCGGCCTATCATTGCCGACATCATTATATCATGACCGGCCTCTCAGCATGGCATGATTATCTTATTTGAAGACCGGGCTCATCCCCGCGATGCGTGGATGAGGACCGTTGCTTGATTTCAGGTCGGCCTCTCATTGCTGACACCATTATATCACGACCGGCCTCCCGGCTCGGCGTGCTTATCATATTTGAAGACCGGTTTCATCCCCGCTCCTCGCGGATGACGGCCGTTGCTTGTTCTCTCTGATCGGCCTCTCACTGTCGATATCATTATATCACGATCGGCCTCTCGGCACGACGTGTTTATCTTTTGAAGACCGGTCTCATCCCCGCGCTGCGTGGATGAGAGCCGCTGCTCGGATATATCAGCCTGATCGGACACTATTGTCATCTCCTTATCAGGACCGACTGCTCAGCGACATTATGATCATTGTATATCGGCTCCCAGCGCCGACCTTCTTGAGTTAGCGATCGGGCTCACCCCTCCCCTCCAGGAGGGTGACCATCGCCATCGCATGACGACCAGCTATTCCATCGCCTCGTCATTTTATTCATTTTTGTATCCCACCACCATTATGTGTGACATCCCTTGTGGTCATTCTTAGAACCGATGAACGTATTTTCCTCCCTCAAAAAAAAAAAAAAAAGAAAAGAAAAAAAAAAGAGAAAAAAAAAGATGGGGAGAAGGGGAGAGAGAAGCTCCTATGAGAGAGGGAGTCTTGACGAGGTATGTCTGATCTTCCTTCGCCGCGTATGACGAACGTCTCCCGACGCGGAGGCTAGTAGGAACGTGGGGGGGGCTAGACGTACCAAAGGGAACCTCGGCAAGATAAACCAGTTCCTCCCATGACCCGTGGTTCGACGAACACCTTCTGCCAGAGCAGAAGGCTAGTAGGGCCACGAGCATGGGACGACGAAGCAGGGAATCCCGACGTGGATAAACCGGTTCCTCCTTGCGATTGTTGGATGACCGAACGTCTTCTTCGAAGTAAGAAGGTTAGTAGGACCACGACAGGGACGAACGAAGAATAGGGAATCCCGGCGTGGATAAACCTGTTCCTCCTTGCGATCGTTGGATGACCGAACGTCTTCTTCGAAGTAAGAAGGTTAGTAGGACCACGACAGGGACGAACGAAGAATAGGGAATCCCGACGTGGATAAACCTGTTCCTCCTTGCGATCGTTGGATGACCGAACGTCTTCTTCGAAGTAAGAAGGTTAGTAGGACCACGACAGGGACGAACGAAGAATAGGGAATCCCGACGTGGATAAACCCGTTTCTTCTCATAGTTGGGATGACGAACGTCTCCTGCGAAACCAGGAGACCAGTACTCACGAGACTTGGGAAGAACAAAGACCGAGTTCTTTACCGGAGTCTGTGCCTGCCGAGTGTACACTGCTTAGCGGTTCGTACATAGGACCACAGATACGGTAGACGAACGAAGACCAGCTCCATGGATCAGACACGATGGACCAGTTCTTTACCGGAGTCTGTGCGTGCCGAGTGTACACTGCTTAGCGGTCCGTACATAGGACCACGGATACGGTAGACGAACGAAGACTAGCTCCTCAGGCCAGATAGGAGGGACATCACCCAGATTTATTTCAGGCTCACCATTCCTTCCCGGATGGAGTCTTGGCAGACGATCGGCTTCTCACAGCCAATCAGGAGAGAGACTTGACACATCACCAGCACGGCCGAGGGCCACGAGACGATTATCACTCACCGACAGGCCGAGGGCCATGAGATGATCATCACTATCTTTCTGTATCACGATCGGCCCTTCAGCGCCATCGTGTCCAGATTCACGGTGCGGCTCGCCCATTCCCTCCAGGATGGCGACGACCGTCTTATGCAGTACGATCGGCCCCTCAACGCCATCATACCCAGCTCACGTTCGGATCGCCCATTCCCTCCAGGATGGCGACGACCGTCTTATGCAGTACGATCGGCCCCTCAGCGCCATCGTACCCAGCTCACGTTCAGCTCGTCCATCCCTTCCAGGGTGGCGACGAACGTCTTATGCATCACGATCGGCCCCTCAGCGCCATTGTGTCCCGACTCACGTTCGGATCGCCCATTCCCTCCAGGATGGCGACGACCGTCTTATGCAGTACGATCGGCCCCTCAGCGCCATCGTACCCAGCTCACGTTCAGCTCGTCCATCCCTTCCAGGGTGGCGACGAACGTCTTATGCATCACGATCGGCCCCTCAGCGCCATTGTGTCCCGATTCACGGTTCGGATCGCCCATTCCCTTCCAGGATGGCGACGACCGTCTTATGCAGTACAATCAGCCCCTCAGCGCCATCGTACCCAGCTCACGTTCAGCTCGTCCATCCCTTCCAGGGTGGCGACGAACATCTTATGCATCACGATCGGCCCCTCAGCGCCATCGTGTCCAGGTTCACAGTTCGGCTCGCCCATTCCCTTCCAGGATGGCGACGAACGTCTTTATGCAGCACGATCGGCCTCTCAGCGCCATCGTGCTGGCTCATGTTCGGCTCGCCCATCCCTTCCAGGATGGCGACGAACGTCTCTTATGCAGCTAAATCGGCCCCGCCGTGCCATTGTGTCGGGTTCATCCCCGGATTGCCCATCCCTTCTAGGATGGCGACGACCATCTTATGCAGCACGTCTGCTTCTCGGCGCTGACATGCCCGGGTTATCGATGAGAGCCACCGCTTTCTATCACATCTCACATTCCTTCTCTCATACATTGCACCCATACATTACATGCATTCATGCATTCATGCATCATACCTCATACATTCATACATACACACGTGCATCATGTTTTGACAGTACCGCGACGTCGGTTTATAGATGCATGGACCTCTAAGCTTCTCCGATTGGAAAGCTCGAGTCAGAGTCCTTTACTCCCGCCTGATGCATTCAGGGGGAGTGTGTCCGTGGAGGAGCACCCTTCGCCCGACCCCGACGGGAAGGGGGGTGCCTCACCGGCAGATTACGTTCAGGAGTGTGGACATCCACTCATATATTATGATTATTCGAAGACACAGTTTCCAGCAAGACCGAGGAAGAGCGCATGCAAGAGTATATTTTCTCGAGCAGATTCGCGCACTCACTACTCAAGAAACTGGGGGACTTGTGTTGGGATATATTATCCCGGCCTATTACTGTTCAGGAGCCCAAGACATTATCCAGTACGGAGCCCGAGCAGCTAGGTCCATTTCGGCCCATTCTGGCCCACTTTGGCCATTGGGCCCGGCATCGGCCCGTTTGGCCCGTTAGGGTGGAGAGCCCCTTCTCCCCTTCCCCTATTTATAGGAGGTTTTCCCTCCATGTAAAGGATCTTCTTCTTCTTCCTCCTTCTCACTAGAATAGCTAGCTAGCTTACAATACTCCATTAATGGGAGCTACAACATATGTACTTTGTAATGGTGAGGAGAGATTAATGAGAATGAGAGGGCTTGGACATTAGCCTAAAAAGTCTCGTGGTTTTCTCCCTTTCCGGGTTTCCACGTAAAAATAGCCTGTTCATACACATTTATACATATATTTACTATATCGTGTTGGATTAAACTCAACACAATTGATAAAAAAAAGGTTGAGAAAAGAGGATGAAGAAGTAAAGTGGGGATGAAGAGAGAAGAAGAAGGAAGTAAATGAGATTTTTTTTTGCTTTTGCGGAGTATACCATATACAACTTGTTTACATGGTGTGTACACTTAGCATTTTTAAACCAAATATCCTCGGAAGAAAATCAACATGTGTACACATTAACCACATTTGTCATACGCATAATGTGGCGGTGTAGTAGCATTGTGTATAAATTTTTGTGTATATGGAAAATTGTTGCAAAATAGATACGGAGTACAAAAAAAAATTGAGTACAAAAAACTAGAGAAAATCATCCTTGCTAAGACAAAAACACTAGCTTTTACCAAAAATAGGAATTAATATTTGATTTTCCCTAAATAGAATTACTCATTCCTTTTTTTACCCCAATTGAATTAATTAATTATCCCCTCTAGTTCCCTTGCACAACAAAGACAATCTTGTGGTGGTGGAGGCAGTCCGCGCGAGTCCTGGGGCAGCAGTGGTAAAGTCTATGAGAGTATTTTGGTCCAATCGCAAATAAAAAAAATCATATTTAAGCATGTTTAAACTTTAACTAGGTAAAATAGGATTTTAACTTAAAAAATCATATTTAAGCATGTTTAAATCATATTTAACTAGGATTTTTCCCAAAATCCTATTTTGGGAAAAAATAATGTTTTACTCTTATTAAGATAAAATAAAACTCCCAAAAACTATTTGTAAACAACATTTGTACATGCACTCTAGTTGTTTGTGTACACAAACAATTCAATAGAAAAAATCAACAATTGTATGCAATTATCTGTGTTACTGTGGACATGGGTGTTTGTACAAAAAAGTGTACAAATCTATTTTTTACCGGACCTCCAAAAATTAGAAAACTCAATCCAACAACATTTTTCGGACCGAGTTCTAGTCAATTTTTGGCTTTAGGTTCAATTTTCCCACACCTCCTTCACGCCATTTGCAGATTTCATCCAAGAAACAATGAAATTGGAAAAATTCAAATTTTCTATTACTCAAATATGGATTTGAATTCCAATGTGAGAAGCTCTACTCGAATTTTCCACTTTTTTGTATTGCTTTCTTTCCATGGCGCTCAAGAGTACAAGTGCTTAAGGCGAGTAGGGACACTGGTCCATCCATATTCCACTGTCTTTGTCAGGCGTCCATCCATGTTGCTCTGCATCGCTTGTTGTCCATCCGTCCTAGTTGTTCTTCATCGTCGCCCAACCTGGTTTTGGACCATCTCTGGTTGGCAGCATCTGATCACAGCATTTTAAAGGACTCCCAAGTATGTTGCTCAATTTGTTCTTCCCACCCTTGAAACCAGTTGAGGGCCTTATCCTCCATAACAATTACCACCATCTCAACCTTCTCCTTATTAGTTACATGATTGAGTCATCCCCGCCATTGAATAGCAGCAGATGTATCTTTCTCCCGGCTTGGCTATGTCCTTGGTTTATGCACATCCTCACGTTGGTTGGATGTCGCTTGCGAACTGAGGGATTCTTCTCTCGATCGCGTCCAGGGATGGATTTAAGGGGGGGCGCAGGGGGCGACCGCCCCCCTTGGACTTTCAAATTTTTCTACTATATATGTAATATTTTGAGACATTAGTTAGATATATATGTTTTCGCCCCCCTTATCTTTTAGTTTTCAAAATTAATATATAAGCTCACATAATGTAATTCTTAATTGGAGATTTAAAAGAAGTAAAATCTAAAATAATTTACATAATTTAAACAAATAAACAATAGAATAACTCATTGTTTAAGACTTGGGATACCTATTATATTAAACAAATTAGTTTTGTCATGTTTAATTATCTTTATTGGATAATTAGTACTCGATTTTGTAAAATATCAATGATATTAAATATCAGACACTATAGTTAAACAGTTTTTAGATGATGTAAAGTGAATCCAAAATATAAATGTTTGTTGACACTAAATTATACAATCAATTTACCTCTTACTTTGTAAAAACAATTTGTTGCATAGATAATAAACTTTAACTTATTTTAGCATTAATACAAATATAATATGCACCATGTATACATGAATTAACAATACTACGTATCATATTATTCTAAAACTAATAATCTCAAACATACTATTGTAATACTAAGAAAACACTTATTTAGACAAAATTTGCAATTCAAAAATCGATTCTTTATTCTGATAAAATTCATGTAGTTAAACAAAGCAAAAATTATTTAAAAAACATCGGTCCTTGTGTACCTTTTAAACTCTTTATCTTAAAATAATTTGATAAAATGTTATATCCTTTCTTCTTTTCAAATAATTTTCTACAGCACTAACAATTATTAAGTCAAAGTTATTTTTTGATTGTCTAGAATTAGAATGTAATATAATAGATTTAAATGTCATCATGTATTTACTAATTAATTTTTTGAACAAAAATTAGTCACAAAGTCCTACACTAGCAAAAAAAAATCGCCCTGCTACACTAGCCAAAAAAATTCCGCCCCTTGATAGCGTCGTACTTTGACGCGAACTGATAGCGGATGAGGAAGCCTGCGAACTAAGAGAAGGTGCTCGCAACTACAATGAGCTGATTGCAGAGGGAGATCACTGCGAGTTGGAATCTCCTCTGAGTCGCGTTTGGCTCACATAGGGATATTGCCGCGAGTTGGATTCTTCTCCAGATCGGTTTGCGATTTGGCTCTCAAAGGGATGTTGCCGCCTAGGATTCCTAGACCGACCTCTTGAACGCTGGCCATCCTGATTGATCAGCCTGCACCGCAGTTCTTCCAGCTCTGCCCTCATCTCGGCGACACTCCTTTCCATATTCTCCAAGCGATGTTCCATTTGTGTTCTGGTGAATATCGGGGGTTTTTGGAATTGATTCTGCTTCTGCTTCTTTTTTAAAAGCAGAATCAGAATTAGAATCAGTTTTCAGAAGCTGGTACCTCCCAGCTTCTAAAAAAACTGATTCTGAGAGTAAATTAGAGCTCCAGAAGTGTTTCTGGATTTTCACCCAAACACTCCAGCTTCTGCTTCTGCTCCCTGAAGAAGCAGAATCAGTTTTGAGAATCAGATCCAAACACCCCCATCATCAACTGTGCCTCTGGATCGAGATGCTCTGATACCAATGAAATGATAGAGACTCCAGCAACCAACAGTAATGTATAACTTTATTTAATGAATTTTTAGGAAAAGAAGAAGAATAACAGAGACTTCGAGTGGTCTCTCTCCTAGCCAGTTCCAACTACACGTCTGCCTACCTTTCTTCTTCCCTCCTTCCCACTCCCCACTCTTATAATATTCCTATCCTTAAGAGCCGGCCCACATTCATGAAACACTCAATTTGTACACTATTGCAATATTTAATAGGGGTAATTTGAGTTTGCACCCCAATTTATTGTCTAAATTGGACTTTGCACACCATTTTTAAATATTTTTGTTTTTGCACCCCAATCCCATATGAAAAGACAAAAATGCCCCTCTGTTAACAATTCGGTTGGCCTTCAACACATTCTTGATCGAGGGGCATTTTTGTCTTTTCATATGGGATTGGGGTGCAAAAACAAAGACTTTTAAAAATGGGGTGCAAAGTCGAATTTGGACAATAAAATGGGGTGCAAACTCAAATTACCACTATTTAATACTACCTCTGTCCCCCTATGTTTGGGACACGAGAATGTGGCACGGTTATTAATAAAAGTGTGTTTATGTGATTGATATTGATAAAGTAAGAATAAAGTAGGAATGATTTAGAACCACACAAACTTTACCAAATAAGATATGAGACAATCATAGTGGGACGGAGGGAGTATTATTCATTTATTCTATTATTCTTATTAGTCTCATTGTCTATTTCTCTACATTCCATGATAGTGTTTCCTATTTTGGTGAAACATGATACGATGATAGTGAAAAAAGGGATGGAATGTCGCATTCGATGTGAAGTAACATGTTCCGGTCTCCATATATTGAGATCTTATTGATATGTCTCTGGGATCACAACTGACATGAGTAGAGAGCTGTAAACATAAAGCTACTTTAGTACTCAACTCTGCTCTAAATCCTACGGGTCCGTTTGGAACCCAGAGAAAGTTAAGGAAGGAAAGATTATAGGATGGAAAATAAATTAGTCCCAAATTCAAATAAATTTATGTTCTTTTTCAAAAGTATTATTAAAAATAAAACTTTTTTACACAAAATATGACTAATAGTTACTGTAATGTAGTGTCATGATAACTTAATTTAAAATTTGAACATAAGTTACTATGATTTCATGACTATTCTAGTCACTAGTCACATTTTTGTAAACAATCTATATTTTAGTTATAAATATGTAATTATTTCTAAATTTATTTTAGATATATGCTCGAATCTGAACTGTTATTTATTTGTTTGTTTGGGTGTGCGTGCGTGCGTGCGTGTACGTGTGTGCGTGTGTGCGTGCGCGCGCGCACACGCTTATATTTATGTAATTTGTTTGTGTTGAGGTTTATTCCTTCAACCCTCGGGTCCAACACGTAAGCCCAAGGATTTCGAGTGGAGTATGTGTGAGTAAACTAGCCCAACTAACAAATGAGATGAATCAAGAAACAACAAGGTAGCAAGTAAGTGATTAGGTATTATTATCTCTTAATAACTCCCTAATACAATACTTTTCGCTAAGGCTCCGTCGGCCGTTCGTCTTACAAGGCAGTAGAAGTGCTGCGAGTAAGAATGTTATAGCTAGAGTGCTAAGAATAGAAAGTTGCCAACCCTTTACAATGAAATAAATGCTTCTATTTATACCCGCCAATGGGCAGGTGGTTGTACTGACGTGGAAGCCTGTGGTTCGCTGGTGTCCCAACCACCAAATCTTCAGCATTAAATGCACTTCCCGCCAGAATCTAGGTTTCCCGCCTGATTAGTGGGGACGTTCGTCCGCCCGGGGAGCGAGCTGGATAGCTCCAGGTGGCCTCCAAGGGGTATTGGCCGCTCGTCCCCTGGCCTTTGCAGATTCTCGCCATGTGGACCGGACCGCCTCCGATGGCCATGGGCTTGCTCTGACGACGTTCGTCGTCATTCCGGTGACCCGTGGTCCTGCTCCTTGTCCCTGCATAGACGTTCGTCGAGATGGGCCGTTGAGCCTAAACCCCCCAACTGCAGACGTTCGTCCCTCCTGGAGGAACATGGGCCTGCCAGGCTAGCTTTGTGTTCTAACTGGACGTACGTCTGGTAAAAAGGGGTGAATGGGCCGGACCCTGACTTGGGCCATTAACCCAACACAAGTCCCCCACTTCTGATGTTCTGAGCGTGCACAGGACAAAAGGAAGTATGAAGTCCCTCGAAGTAGACGTTCGTGTCTTGATACTTATGTTTATTGCATCTGGTGGAAGCGTATGCTCGTGGTCATTGTCACGCCCCAGACCGCAATCCAAGCGCGTGTACAACCGCCGTATAACTAAGTGACGTCACCCACGAGTCAACCTCACTTAATTACACAAGGCGTTCGAGAAAAACAATCCATCCATACTCAGTAGTAAACATACATAACAACATCACATTTAAACCAATGAATAGCGGAAATATTCAACGGTAAGTCATGAGCCACAACCGGCCAACAACATGGGCATGCAAGCCCCAAAAATAGTTTATAGTAAAACAAATATCCATGAGCAAGTGTTCGGTAGTTTGAAAGAAACTAAGGAAGCACGAACCACGTCTTCCTGATATGATATCACCCGTGAGAAGGTGCAAGTAGCAAGCCCTAGCTTCAACCTGAAAATGGTGGGGCCCCCCGAAGGGGTCAATACAAGTACCGAGCGAGTAGCAGGCTAAATATAGAATAACTAGCGTTTCAAGTATAAGACCCAAACATAGGGTGATACTTAAATAGATAGTCTTTCCCCCAAGTTATGAAATACTTATTAGTATATATATACTTGGATAATATCTGATCCGTAGATCACCGTTTTATTTGGGAAAAATAGTAATAGTCAATATTCTTGACTAAAAACCCCAACCCACCCATATACCTATGAGTGTATAGGACTCCTCCTTGCCCCTATTTCAATATCTTAATCTATGAGTTTTGAGGATCATAATCATTGGGTACTACACCGGTTTGTGAGTGTTAAGGACTCATAAGTCCTAGGGTCCTCCACCAAGTTTTGAGTGTTAAGTACTTTTAAGTACTAGGGTCCTCCACCAAGTTTTGAGTGTTAAGTACTTTTAAGTACTAGGGTCCTCCACCAATTTATAATCCGAGTGTTAAGGACTTTAAGTCCTAGGGTCCTCCACCAATTTATAATCCGAGTGTTAAGGACTTTTAAGTCCTAGGGTCCTCCACCAAATTTTGAGTGTTAAGTACTTTTAAGTACTAGGGTCCTCCACCAAAATATTTTCCTATGATCAACCTTCTATCAATCTAGATAGAGTCTATATCATACTTAGTTACTCATAACTAATTCAATACATAAAGCTTATGTATCACAATCCATGCAAAACCATGCATTCATATAAATTTATAATTAATTAATACCAACCGGTATTAATTAAATCCTTTGTCCATCGGTCAACGTTTTCGTTGACCGTCATTTCATGCCTTGTGTGTATCAACTTAATCATCATATAATTAAGTTAATAATATTCATTTGTGCTTCTAATACACTTCAAACAAATATGCATTTCATATAATTCTTCATATCATATTCCATGCATCAACATTTAATTTCTTTCATACAAACTTAACCCTATTGGCTAATCACATGTTTAAATATCTTTTAAACATCATTATGAACTCATATAACATTTATTTAGGTAATCTCATAATTAACCCAAAAGTTATAAGATATTAAGCCGTCCACTCACCTTGAACTAGCGTTATGAAGTTCTACCCTTCTTGGTTGAACTCCGGTGAAACTCCGGCGACTTTTGGTCAACTCCGGCGACAAATCCGGCGACTTTTCCAACTTTGTGAAACCACTTGAAATACCCTTTACAAGTGCCTAACAAGGTTTTATAATCATAAAACCCATGTTAATACAAATAACCTCAAAAAGGTTATTTTCCGGTGAACCGGTCGTTTTGGCTTCTAAGTCCGTTCTTGGACATAGAATCACTTTCCAACCCATAAATCCATACTTATAACATGTAGAACCCTCTTAAGGATCCTTCACATGATATATATCTTATATGGTAGAAGAAAAATAAAGGAAAAGTTATAATAAGGTCATTACCTTAATTTTACACCCTTTTCCTCACTTTTTCCCTTCTTTAATTCCCCTCCTTGGACCACTCTTGCTTGAGCTCGAGTTGCAGCAATGGAGAATAGCTTGAGAGCTTCATCTTCCTCCTCCTTTGATAGGTTGGTCGAAATTATGGGGTGGGTGAGTGAGGAGATAGCCTCTTTGGCTTTTCTCTCAAAATAATGTGGGAATGGGTCCTCCCCATTGTACCTTTGATGCCAAATGCATCTCCTCCTCATTTCCTCTTGTCAACCCAGCCCTCAATTGATGTGTTTAGCACATAAAAACGTGGGGTGGCCCCCACTCATGTGGGAGGTCATCCCTTTGTGTCCCGATGTGTACAATCGGTCCCGAAAGTTGTATTTTTCAGACTGTTTTAAATATATTTTATTTTATCGGGTCAAATAAAATATATTATGTGCTCTTACTCATTATGACATGTATAATGAATATACATTCCCCAACTTTAATTTATAAGCCTCCGAAATTCAGTTCGTGCTGTTATCTGTTAAATTACCAGTACCGGTAATTTGGGCTTCTTTTGACCAATCGGTCAACTCCGGGCCTTTCCATGGCCCAAATGAAATATCCACCACTATATATTTATTATCTAGACCAAGATGAATAAAATATATGGTCTCGGGAATGTCGGGCGGCCCCCGCTCCCGGTGTGGGTCCCACGTACAATTTACTATTCACGCGAAAGAATTAATAAAAATTTACAACTTCGAAATTCATAAATCATTCCATAAGGTTTATTACATCATTTACTTGAAAGTAAATACATTTGGGGACGGTGTTACAGTCATGGTGCTTGACAGCTGTCGACGGTTCAGGAAACGAGGTGACGGCTGCTGTAGCGGCGGTGCATTTCCCAAGGAAGTGTCATCATTACGCTCCCATCCCACGCACAGCGCGTGAGCCGGGATACGCCCCTTGCAACGTGTCGACCCCTCGTTGGTTCCCCCCATCGGTGTTCCGCCTATAAATGCTGGGTTTTCCCTCTGGACTAGGGTTCCCAATTTCTGCTCCCTCGCTCTAGAATCTCCGCTGCTCCTCGAGTCTTCTCCCCTGCTTCCGAGTCCTGCTAATCTCCTCGTAAGGTAATTTTCCTCCTCTGCTTCTTTTCTCTGTCTTGAATTTTTGCCAAAATGACCTCGATGGAGATCTCGTCAAGTTCTGATTCCGGTTCGTCGGGTTCCTCTTCGGGCTCCTCCTCTGATTCCGGTTCACGCTCCCCCGGAAAGGCTAGCGTCTCAGGGAGTTCGGGTTCAGCCTCGACCGTGGGGACTATCCAGGCCGATGGTGCGCCTGATAACGCTCCTCAAGGTAGTGGGGGCAATGTTGACAATGGAAACGTCGACGGGGCGATGGATGTCATTAATGCAGCCCCCCTTAATGAGCGTCCAACTGACTATGATTCTGGGGAAGAGGCCGAATCTGGCTCTGATATGGAGGTGTATGATCTGGGCATCCCCATGGATATGGAGCGCCATATTTGTCCGATCAGGAGCGCCCTCGATCACGATCAAGTCCTTTCCCGTGTGGCTCTCAACAAAATCCGCACTTTCTTCCCCCCGCCGTTCGTCTGGAGCGTGAGAGGCGCTGAGCATGTGATGAGGAGACGTCCGGGGATGATTATGCTCCACTTGGACTCCGTTGAAGCCGGGCTGCGGTTTCCTCTCCATTCATTCTATGTGGAGTTCTTCCACTGCTTCCAGGTGGCCCCGACTCAGTTCATGCCAAATTCCTATAGGTTTATATCAGCCTTCCAGGTGCGCTGCAAACTTGCGGGAGCCACTGCCACTCTGGAGCTGTTCCACTACTTCTACCGCATCACTCCTCAGAACTCTGATGGTTATCTGAGCGTGGCCGCACGTCCCGGGAGGAGGCTGTTCAAGAGCTACCCTTCGTCTATCCACGATTGGAAGAATCGCTTCTTCTTCCTCCGATATGACGACCCTCCTCTCCCGGTTCGGTGGAATGGCTATCCCCCAAAGATTGAGTCACCGGAGCTGACCGACGATCTGAGTGGGGACGTGGAGAAGGTGTTGCAGGGCGGCGTCTGCCCTATAGCCGGATACCTGACCCTCGAGGCACTCTCCGGGGCAGGCATAGGTACCGCCCGTGTCCCTGGAATTTTCCGCACTTCGACGCTCGTCTCGGGGCATCGGGCGGTCCTGTCCTTCGAGGTGAGTGTCTTGTCACATTCTCCGCTCGTCTTTTAACCCTTATTTGTTTCATGCAGGTTCTCCACCAGACGAAGCCCAGATGAATCATGCCGAGTGCTTGAAGACCAGGAAGGCCAAAGCAGCTGCTGCTAAGGCCGCGCTGGCGAAAGCCAAGAACGCTCCTGCTTCGGACTCCAACTCTTCGGCCTCCGATGCCGCCCGGCGAACGGCTGAGGGTGAGCAGCACTTGATTGCCACCGTGCTGGCCCAAGGGTCCGGGACCCCAGCTCTTGACGCTGCCTTTCCACCGCCGGTCGTCGCCACGAAGGCGGCTTCTCAAAAGGGGGTAGAGAAGGCCCCGGAGAAGAAGCAAAAGAGGGGCCGTGAGGCAGCCTCCACTGGCCCCCTGATTGAAGACGCCGGCTCCCTGCCCTTAAGCCGCCCGGCGGAGGAACTTTGGAGGGAAGTGGCCCTCAAAGCCGGCCTTGAGCTGCCCCCCCCGCTCATCTTCTGAGGCAACCAGCGCTGCTCTGGCCGCTGCTCTTCAGGTATTTCCTCTATACCAGATCTGGGTGCATCTCTCATTCTCTGTTCATCTCTTGATTATGTGTTCTGACTCCTTTCTTTGTTCAGTCTGGGCTTCTGGTGCTGCAGGCTAAGGCCGCTAGGGAGGCCGGTCTGAAAGAGGCCAAGGTGAAAGCCGATGCCGCCTTGTCCCAAGCCCGGGAAGCCGCCCGTCGTGCCGAGGCGGAGGCTGCGGCCAAGGAGAGGGAGCTCGCAGCTCTGCGGGCTGAATCCCGCAGCCAGCTGGCCGGCCTTGAGAGAGCCGGCTTCAAGCTTGTTCCGGTGCTCCCCGTTGAGAAGGACGCCAATCCAGAGTGGTTGGTTGACACCTCCGGCTATAAGAACACCGGGGAGTTCATGGACTCTGCCAGAGACTACTGCGACGGGGCCTTCGGCGACGTGTTTTCTGCGGCTCTGGTGAAGATACCGCCCCGGCAACGTCTGGCCTGCGGCGTCCGGATCCTCGAGAGCTCTCCTCTGTCCCACAAGTTCCTGTACGAGGTCGGCGACAGTACCTTTGCCGCTGGGTATAATGAAGGAGTTAAGGCCACTCTCCCCATATTCGCCAAGCTGCAGGGGGCTGACTTTGATTTGGCCGCAAATACTGATGACGACCTGCTGATCCAAGCTTTGGGGAAGCTAGGGAGGGACCGGTGTCGGGAAGAGGCCAAGGCCAGGGGAGAGATTCCGGAGCCGCCGACCCCCGAGCCTGAAGTCGAGGAGGAAGAGCTGAACCAGGGAGGCAACCGGCCGGGGTCCCCTTTTCTTGTATAATACAACTTGTAATTTCCCTGTTTTGAACTTGTAATGCCCAGCCGTTAGAGCTGAAGAATATACATACTTTTTGCCCATAGTTGTCTCTACGTTCGTGATTTTTTACTTTGCCCATTATTTTCCTTTGCCTCATCGCCAATTGTGTGGAACCTCCTTCGGGGCCTTGTTGTACTTTGAACCTTTTAAGATAAAGTTAAAGTCCGTGAAGACGTTCATACCGATCCTCCGTTTGTTTAGCGCAATAGGCGCCCCCTTGCCATGCTCACGTACGTACTCGAATGTGCGGGCGTACTGCGAGAGCTTGCCGCCTGGTGGCGATACTTGACGCCGATGTCCGCCTGCTGGCAAGGAGTGGATTTCCCAAGTATGAAGATACGAACGTATCATCCGGCATCCATATTCTGACAGCGGCGTCCACCTTATAAGTGTGGGCGTATGACTGACCATTGCCTGTAGTCGATTCCAATTCCATAAGACGTTCGTTGGTGGTTGCCTCTTTGGTCAGTGGTAAATCTCTTAAGCATGGAGATACGAACGTACTTCCCCAGAACCAACGCTTAGTAGGGACGTTCGTCCGCATGCGTAAGTGCCGTTCCGGGACCTCTCCAATTTTTGTAGGGAGACGTTCGTCTGGCCTTCATGAACAACGGCCGCAAAGTATGGAAAGACGGACGTAGCCCGTTGGTGCGTACGTCTCCCTTAGCTGCCGATTTCAGGCTCAGCCGGTGGTCGCGGTCTCTGGGCATCTCTAGGTCCCTTGGAGCTGGTAAACTCCCCTGGCGGGACGTTCGTGGCATTGATCCGGATTCCCTTGCCGTGATTGTGAGGTGATGAAATCGAGGCACCTTTAATACCGTGGTGGGTACCGGTATCTAGGTGCCACGTGTCCCGCCTCGGTTGGCGCGATTCCACGGTGCTGCCTATAAGTACCCAGAAACCATGTGATCCATTCACACTTCTCATTACGCTGCACAATTGCTTCCTCTCTCTAGATTTCCTACAAGTCGTGTTGAGCCTCGAAACTTCCAAGGTACCGTTCGTTGCCATGTCCTCTGAAACCCGTTTCGACGATGGTTGTTCTTCTGGCGATGACCTAGAGTATTATGAGCGGGGAATGCCGCCCCGGCCTCCCCGTTACAGCCTTAGCTTCTCGTGCGTCCGGCGTCAAAATCAACGCTTGACGAATGCTGATAAGCGTCTGATCGGCCAATGGTTTTATCCCCTAAGGACCTACGATGATCGGCGCCTGCACAACCCCATGCGTCATCTGCCCGGCTATGTGGTGGTCCATTTGGATTCGGTGATAGCCGGGCTGAACTTCCCCTTGCACAGCTTCCACTTGGAGCTTTTCAGGGCTCTTGAGATAGTGCCTGCGCAGTTCGGGTATGCCAAGCGCATAGCTGGACTCGGCATCCAGAACCTCCGGTTGCTGGTGGCCGAGCCTTTTAAAGCTCGGGCTGGGTTAGGTGCGTCCGTTTGTACTTGTATTGTTTTATCATCTCTTCGTTGTTACGGCTCTGAACGTCTTGGTTCCTTTTGTGCAGGAGTCTTCCCATCTACGTCCACCATGGGCCGTACCAACAATGCTTCAACTGCCGCTGGTCGCGAACACAAGGACCATAGCATGCTGGAGAAGCCGCTCGTCCCCAAGGTCGAATCCCGGATGACCAGAGCGCGGGCTGATGACACCTCTGGGGCCGGTGCTTCCAAGAGGCCGCGTGTTGAGAGTACTGCTTCCAAAGCCATCATAGTGGCCGATGACTCTGATGGGGAGCCCGGGAGTCCCCTCAAGCGGAAACCCACTTCTCGGAACAAGCCCCATATTTCTCCCCCGCGGAATTCTGACGTTCGTCGCCTTCGGGATGAGGATGTCCAGACTACCAAGAGTTCTGACGACGCTCGTCCTACTTCGCCCCCAGAAACCAATGGGTCCTCCCTTGGCCTGATTGAGTTTTCCGGGGTTGGTCCCCGCAAGGAGTCGATGATGCTCTTTGGTCAGACAACGTCTTCTATTTGGTGCGGCCTCAACCTCAAGGTTCCCTCAGGACTTCGCCGCTCAGGAGGCCCCTGAAGATCTCTTGGAGTGTGGTCAGAGCACTCTGGATAAGGCCGGGCTCTACTTCCACAGGGCTCGGATGGCTTTCGAGCATCAGGGTAGGGAGATGGCCAGAGTACGGGCCGAATGTGATGCCCTTCTGAGGAATGCCAAAGGCAGGGCTGGATCTCTCCAAGAGAAGGCCGATGCCTATTGACATTCATGTAATTTCCATGTGTAAATTTGTGTTTTTAATTAGTTTAGAATGAGTGTTACTTCGGAAATTACACACTTTTGGTGTAATAGTTTAGTTTGTAAAATATTTGTAATATGTTTAGATTAGGTTTATTCTGAGCTCAAACAGGTCCAAGAACACTTTGGGGACCATTGGTGAACACCACAAGTGGAAGGAAAGTGCAAAAATGCAAAACAAAAAGTGGAGATTTCGTTTTTGGTCTGTACCCGGTCGGGTATGACCTATACCCGATCGGGTACCCTTCTAAAAAATCAAATCGGATCAACCCGGGAACCGAGCAACATGCGGGAAAGATTTTGGCCATGTTCGATTGTCATACCCGATCGGGTGACCGACAGACCCGATCGGGTATGACCCTATTTTTCAGTTTCTGGGCAATTTCCTAAGATACCCGATCGGGTATCCTATATACCCGATCGGGTACACAGCCCTGCAGCTCCCAAAAGCCTATAAATACACCCCATTTCCTTCCCATAAAAGTACCAATTCACATATACTTCTTAGCTCAGTTTAGACAAGTTCTTTCTTTATATTTTTCATCATGTTTAGTCTCCAAATGAGGAGCTAAACTCTTCCATCTTGGTTTTGCTACTTTGAAGCTTAATGAATTTGTAAGTTGTGAGTTATTATCTTTAATCTTCTTCCTTGAATATTAATTCTTTCTTTAAATACTATTTCTATATCAATGTTGGGGAGTGTTACTAAGATGACAATTAGTTAACATCTTGACATTAGTTATAGTAATAGTTATTTCTTCCTCTACGTTAATATCGGGGAGTGTTACTAAGATGACAATTAGTTAACATCTTGATATTAACTATAGTAGGATTCATCTTCTTTATTATTCTTCCTTGAGTATTAATTAATTCCTATTCATATTTCATATTAATATTTTGAACATTACTTAAAGGATCAACTAGTTTTGTATCATATATTAATTATTACTAGAATCGGTCGATTAATACGCTTGTTATTAATTCGGTCCTTTCGCGGTAGTAAACTTGGGTTATTAATGCATGCGTTTCATGGTTAATAAACCAAGGGGAATTAATTATATTGATTAAACCAATAAACCGCTTGTGTTGAGGTTATCAATCTCAATCGTTTTCATCTTGATTTTATTGCTACTATCGAGTGAATATACGGCGCGTGTTCTATATTAACTCGGTAGTAAATTTTATTAATGAACGCGTCTCGTTATTAATAACTACCCTCGATGAATTGGATATACTCCTCGATTGAGTATTCGAGAGGAAGATAGTTAAAGATATAACCGGGATCGACGAACATTTCATTAAGTGGATAAAAGCAAAGCCAAGTCTTCTTCTCATTAATTAAACCACATAAATCGTTCATCTTCGTATTTAAATATAATTTAAAGTTCATCAATCAAATATAAACCCCCCTTATTGTTACTTATCTATTTCTGTAAGAAGAAAAGTATTCCTTTCCCTGTGGATACGAACCTTACTACACTATACTACGTATTAGTGTCGTATTGTATTATTACTTTGAGTGCACCTCACGACAAAGTGCACGTCAAATTTGGCGCCGTTGCCGGGGAAAGGCAATTATTTTTCTTTTTATTTTTTTTCAAAAAAAAAAAAAATTAATTAAATAAAAAAAAAATATAAACAGTTCTTATTTTCTATTTCTGAGCTTTGTTTGAGTATATGGTTAAACACCGATCTATAAACCAAATCACCTACCAAACAAAGCCCGAAACAGAACAAGCCTTCGAGAGGTTTAGGAATTTATTTCCGAATACTTCTTCGGAGGAATCATCAAGTGCTAGTTCTTATTCCAGCGAGAACGAAGAGCCAATCACTATGGCTCAAGAAACAAGAACGTTGAGGGAGCTCACGGCTCCTAACTTAAATCAACAACCTCTATGTATCACCTTCCCCACTCTTGATGAAGGTGCTACATTTGAACTCAAGTCGGGCCTCATTCATCTACTCCCTTCATTTCATGGCCTAAGGGGCGAAGATGCAAACAAACACCTTGCGGAGTTTCATATAGTTTGCACTAGTATGAAACCAAATAATGTCACTGAAGAACAGATCAAGCTGAGGGCCTTTCCATTCTCACTGAAAGACACGGCTAAGGATTGGCTATTCTATCTTCCCTCGGGAAGCATAGATACATGGGCAGCAATGAAGAAATGCTTCCTAGAAAGGTACTACCCCGCCTCCATCTCATCATCTTTGAAAAAACAAATAAGTAACATCAATCAAAAAGATGATGAGACTTTATATGAATATTGGGAACGGTTCAAAAAGTTATGTGCTAGCTGCCCTTATCATGGCTACACCGAGCAAGACCTCATACTCTACTTTTACGATGGTCTTGTTGATGATGATAGAAGAATGGTGAATGCCGCTTGTGGGGGTGGCATTGTCAACAAAACCCCCTCACAAGCGACAAACTTGATCTCGGAGTTGGCCGAGAATTCCAGGCATTACAACGGGCGGTCCTCAATCCGTAAAGTTGCCGCAGCAGAATCATCTTCATCTTTGGAAAGTCAAATGGCCGGCTTGACTTCTTTGGTTAAGGATTTCCTCTTAAATCCTAGAACCCAAGAGGTCAAGGTCTGCGGCATATGCACACAGCAGGGGCATCCAACCGAATCTTGCCCAAATCTCCAAGAAGAGCAAGTCAATGCCTTGGGTTTTCAATCTCATCAACAAAAGAGGTACGATCCACACTCTAACACTTACAACCCCGGGTGGAGAGATCACCCGAATTTGAGATATGGGAACCCTCAAACACAACATAATCAGCCCTTTCAACAACCCTTCCCAAATCACCAAGGCCAAACCTCAAGCTCAAATATGTCCACCGAAGACATGATCCGAGCACTTGCTACAAATATTTCAACGATGCAACAAAGTGTGGCTCAATTCCAAGAAACAACGAAATCTAGCATCCAAAACTTGGAAAATCAAATGAGCCAGATCTCAATTGCGGTGAGCCGACTTGAGGCAAAAGACTCGGGTAAACTCCCATCTCAAACGGAGCAAAACCCAAGACAACATGTTAATGCAATCATGTTGAGGGATGAGCCAACATTGAAAGAGGTGCATGAGGAAGAAAAACAATCTGAAAATGGGGTTGATCTTGGAGAAGATTTTCAACCAAACGAGGGGAAACCAACGAAAACTAAATCCCCTCCACTTTCATCATATGAGCCACTTCCTCCATTCCCTGAAGCACTGAAGGACACAAGAAAGCTGAAGAATGATCGGGACCTCTACGAGACCTTCGCCGATTCTGAGGTAAACATCCCACTCTTCAAATTGATCAAAAGTGTTCCCCGTTATGCAAAGTTTTTAAAAGAACTATGCACAATAAAAAGGAAAGATAAATTGAAGGCAAAACAAGAGGTAAAGGTTAGTGAACGTGTCTCAGCAATTTTCCAGAGGAAACTCCCGGAAAAATGCAATGACCCAGGCATGTTCACTATCCCATGCAAAATAGGGGACACTTTATTTCCTAGGGCCTTGTTGGATTTAGGGGCTTCAATCAATGTTATTCCATATTCACTATACAAGTCCCTAAAACTTGGCCCTATGCATGAAACCGGGGTGGTAATCCAATTGGCAGATAGGTCTTGCACATACCCAAAGGGTGTAGTAGAGGACGTGCTAGTACAAGTTGAAAATTTAGTCTTCCCTGTTGATTTCTATATTCTTGAAATGGAAGCCGATAACCAAACTACACCCATCCTTATGGGGAGACCTTTCTTAAAGACCGCCCAAACAAAAATAGACGTGTCTAATGGTTCATTAACATTGGAGTTTGATGATCAAAAGGTAGAATTCAACATCTTTGATTCTACGAAAAAACAATTTAAAGACCAATCCCTTTGTTCTCTAAATGTTTTTGAACCACCAACACCGAACATTTTTGTTGAAAAAAAAGCTAAGGAGACCTCACTTTTTAAGGAAAGAATTAAACAACAAAAATCTATTTTGAAAGAAGAGGCACCTAAATACGAAAGTAAATCACTTGTGTTTGAGGTGGTAACAAAGAAGAAATCTCGGCCTTACTGGAAAAGGCCGAAGAAAAAGAATGAAACAGGGGATATTCACGATCCCACATAAAAAAAAAATATAACGTCGTGCCGCGACGTTAACTAAGGCGCTTCTTGGGAGGCAACCCAAGTCAAGGTACGCATTTTTCTTCTTTTCTTTTCAAATTCTTGCTTTTGAATGTCAACTTTGAGAAAATGGGGGAGAATTCTCAAGAGAAAAATGAGGGAAAACCATGTTTTGAAAGCCTGGAAAACCTCCGATCGGTCTTCATCACTTAACCGATCGGATCCGCGCTAAGAAAGGGTTAAAACTGGACAAAAACACTTCCCGGGGAAGAATACCCGATCGGGCACCAGTGCTATACCCGATCGGGTACGTATGAAAAGGAAGGGCCTGCAGAAGACCCGATCGGGAAGCTAGAAAATTTTCAAGAGGGTACCCGATCGGGTACCTATAAGGCCCGATCGGGTATAATACGAAAAATTAAAAGTTTTTCCTTCGAATTAAATTCCCCGATCGAGTACCCCCAAACTCGATCGGGTGAAAACCCCTGGAGCATATTTTAAAAAATCGACATGAACCCGGTCGGGTATTCAAGTCACCCGATCGGGTGAGATACTCTGAAAAACCATAACTCAGTTGCGAATTAATTTACCCGATCGGGTATTCGAATCACCCGGTCGGGTGAATTAATCTGGAAAGCTAAAACATCCTTCGAATTAAATTACCCGATCGGGTATATCAAACCACCCGATCGGGTACTTGAGCTTTTTACCCCAAATCAGACCCAATTCAAGTCACTTCTTCCCCAAACCCCAATGTCCGATTTCTCTCTCCCAAACCCACCATTTTTTGACCCTTTTCCTTCCATATCTCCATCATCACTCAACCAAATTCCCTCAACCCACCACCAAACACTTCCCTCACTCTCCTCTCCACATCATACCCACCAATTACACCATCTCTCCCCCTCCCCAAAAATCCGAAACCCTACCCCAAAAACACCAAGTCCGAATTTCAAAGCGTCAAAAGGGCATCAATGGCACCGAAGAGGGATAGGGCCGAAAGTTCAAATGCAAGGGGACAATTCAAGGCTACGAGGATGTCTGTTTCATCCCGAGTATGACGGAGACGAGCACTAGGGACAGTGCTTCGAGCTAAGTGAGGGGGAGTCACTCATTGGTACGTACTTAAGTTTGATACCTTGTAACTAACATCATTTTCTTCAAAAAAAAAAAAAAAAAAAAAATTAAAAAAAAAAAGGAAAAGAAAAGAAATGCTAGTTAGGTTGAAAACCCAAAAATGGGCAATCTAAGCAAAAATGGCTTTAAAAAAAATGAGTGAGTGGAAAGGATGGAAAATAAAAAGAGATGCTAGGATGAAAACCTGAAAAGGGTCCTAGGCAAAATGAGAGATATGAGAGAGATATTTGTTTTTATAGGACATCATTTAATCTCTTGAACATGAAAAGAGGAGAAGAAAAGAGATGAGCATAGAAGGCCATAAAACCCAAGAAGATATTGTTCGTTGAGCTAAACATTCAATGTAAAACTCATGTTTTATCCTTGGTGGTCTTTTGCTTTTTCTTGTTGATTGTTGAACTCTTGAGGACTTGGAACTGTTAAACATTTGACTTTACTCGAGGACGAGTAAAGAAGCTAAGTGTGGGGGAGTTGACATTCATGTAATTTCCATGTGTAAATTTGTGTTTTTAATTAGTTTAGAATGAGTGTTACTTCGGAAATTACACACTTTTGGTGTAATAGTTTAGTTTGTAAAATATTTGTAATATGTTTAGATTAGGTTTATTCTGAGCTCAAACAGGTCCAAGAACACTTTGGGGACCATTGGTGAACACCACAAGTGGAAGGAAAGTGCAAAAATGCAAAACAAAAAGTGGAGATTTCGTTTTTGGTCTGTACCCGGTCGGGTATGACCTATACCCGATCGGGTACCCTTCTAAAAAATCAAATCGGATCAACCCGGGAACCGAGCAACATGCGGGAAAGATTTTGGCCATGTTCGATTGTCATACCCGATCGGGTGACCGACAGACCCGATCGGGTATGACCCTATTTTTCAGTTTCTGGGCAATTTCCTAAGATACCCGATCGGGTATCCTATATACCCGATCGGGTACACAGCCCTGCAGCTCCCAAAAGCCTATAAATACACCCCATTTCCTTCCCATAAAAGTACCAATTCACATATACTTCTTAGCTCAGTTTAGACAAGTTCTTTCTTTATATTTTTCATCATGTTTAGTCTCCAAATGAGGAGCTAAACTCTTCCATCTTGGTTTTGCTACTTTGAAGCTTAATGAATTTGTAAGTTGTGAGTTATTATCTTTAATCTTCTTCCTTGAATATTAATTCTTTCTTTAAATACTATTTCTATATCAATGTTGGGGAGTGTTACTAAGATGACAATTAGTTAACATCTTGACATTAGTTATAGTAATAGTTATTTCTTCCTCTACGTTAATATCGGGGAGTGTTACTAAGATGACAATTAGTTAACATCTTGATATTAACTATAGTAGGATTCATCTTCTTTATTATTCTTCCTTGAGTATTAATTAATTCCTATTCATATTTCATATTAATATTTTGAACATTACTTAAAGGATCAACTAGTTTTGTATCATATATTAATTATTACTAGAATCGGTCGATTAATACGCTTGTTATTAATTCGGTCCTTTCGCGGTAGTAAACTTGGGTTATTAATGCATGCGTTTCATGGTTAATAAACCAAGGGGAATTAATTATATTGATTAAACCAATAAACCGCTTGTGTTGAGGTTATCAATCTCAATCGTTTTCATCTTGATTTTATTGCTACTATCGAGTGAATATACGGCGCGTGTTCTATATTAACTCGGTAGTAAGTTTTATTAATGAACGCGTCTCGTTATTAATAACTACCCTCGATGAATTGGATATACTCCTCGATTGAGTATTCGAGAGGAAGATAGTTAAAGATATAACCGGGATCGACGAACATTTCATTAAGTGGATAAAAGCAAAGCCAAGTCTTCTTCTCATTAATTAAACCACATAAATCG